AATCCGGCGAATAGGGGGGTGTTCGGTCACCGTAATGGAATTTTTACTCAAAAACTCAAACGATCTTGGCGCAAATTTTTTTCATTTGAAGTTCGTTTCTTAGAATTTCGTGGACCACGGTTTTGCCCAAATTAAGCTCTTCAGCCACCTGTCTGACCGTTAAACGACGGTCCCCATAACACAAGTTCGAATTCTTTCCACGTTTTCGTCGGAATGTGAAGTGGAAGGACGTCCTGAACGTGGGTCATCTTGAACGCTTTCTCGGCCCTCTCTGAATCTTTTTAGCCACTTGTGGACGGTTGGTTCCTTCAAAATCCCCATAAACTAGATCGGCAAAAATTTCACGGCCATTCTTGCCGAGTTTCGAGAGAAACTATGACGCGCTGCTCTTCAACGGAAGCGGGCTATACGGGGTTTCGTTAAGAGGTAACTTCACAGATGTATATGAAGCATTGTTAGGGACATAAGGAAGGGGTCCTGCGCTTACCTGGCCTCCCCACTCCTCTTTCTCGCATGCCAGAACACTTTTATACGAACTTTCCGGAAGACCTCGTATTGTATTTATAACAACAAAGAAACGCACGAATGAGTATATTAATTGTAATAAAATAAAAGAACTATATGTACAGTGAATATAAATGTATGTACATTCGTCACGTCAGCACTACCGTGCGATATAGTTATACAAATAATGTTGACCTACTTTTATCAAATGGAATTTTCTGTCATAGTGTCAGTATATACATAAGGTATGGATAAAAATAATCGTTATGCTACTGTGTGGCGTGCCATAATTGTTTCATTTATATAAACATATGTCCGAGTAAAAATAAAATGTTCTAAAAACACAACTAGCGACCCGCCCTGACTTCGCACGGGTGCAAAATGGTTCGTAACTTTTATATATTCAGTGTAATTTGTCGGGTACAAAACTATTATATATTTCAAGCTAAAAACAAACATATAAATTTATTTGAAATCAGTTGAGTGATTACTGAGATTATAGGGCGCACTAAAATGGCGATGCAGGTTTTTTATATAATAAAAATATTTAAATAAAATCTAACAATGTTAGGATTGACATAGTGCATCTGTCCTTTTTTTAGAGTAGCCAATACATATGGATGATAAATTGTTTAAACAGACTACAGACTCATTAACGCTATATATATAAGACTCGTAACTGTGTGTGCATAAATTTTAGGAGATAATTGTACTACTTTTAGATGCTGTATCAACATAAAACATACACCAAATTTTAAGTTACATCCTCAAAAGATGAAAACTACATTCAATATGATGTAGTACTTTATGGGTGATGCCAGAAGAAACATACTGAGAGACACACGGACTCTGGCAAAAATTCAAATAATATTAGTCTCATGTCTATTGCTATTTATCAAATCATATGAGTGGTTAGTTAGAGAGATCGAATTGGTAATGAGGAGGTTCTGCTTAGGGTTAAGGAAAAGAGACAAATTATAAAAACTATTGAGTACAGAGAGGAAAAAATGTTGGGACACTTGATACGACACGACGAACTTAGGAATATTATAATAGAAGGTAAGATAGAAGAAAGGATGGGAACAAGGAGACCAAGGCATAGTTACATCAGGCAGATCAAAGAAGGAGTTGGTGTCGTGTCGTATTCGTTCGTCATTTCTGTTATACTTTTATTTGTAATTCATTGGTACAAAAATTTATATTTATCTCACATTAAATTGTCATTTATTTGTTAGTTGGAAATATACAATATCGTCACTGCAATCTCGCCGTTTCATTTAATCCCGAAACACATTTTCCTTACTATCCAATTTTTCTCAAATATATTCTATGTACAGACAACGTCCATTTACAATTTTATTACAAATAATATAGATTTTACAACAATATCTATTCTGTCTAAAATAGATATCTAACAATGCTGACATTTTCTATCTTGTTTCGAAGCAGTAGGACGTAACAATACAGATCGTGCTATTGTGACAGGCTAGCAACGGATCCATGAAGAATAAAATTGTTTGTTGTCGTTATAATGACAACTGTAATTGTTGGTACTAGATATTTTTAGCTTACCCTTTTTTTTTATTTGCAATATATTTATAATAATAATAATATTGACAAAAAAAAATAAAATATTATATATTATGTCATCCTAAATGTAAACCTTGAAGAGTTAAAATATAATAATCAGTCCAGAATTAGGAAAAATATCCAGTAACATAATCACAAAAGTACAGAATATTGACAAAAAAAAATTCAATTACTTATTCACTTTTTACCAAATAATGAAACATTTTTTCATTATTATGTCATCGTTGTTAAGAATAGAATGTTATAAATGTACTTTTGAAAAATTCATTCTTTTTTTAAATAAATTTTTGCATATTTTCTTTTTATTTCAAGTTACATATGCTCAGCTATGTAAATATAAATAGCAATAGACGTAAATGTTTTATAATCTTTATTGTCAATGTTCTTTGTCGATTTGTAATTAAAAAAAAAATATCTAATTTCTCTACAATTGTAACTTTTACGTGTGTAATTGGGACTATAAAATAGCAAAATCTTTCAAAATATTACAATGAAACATATATAAATAGATATAATAACAATATGAAATCCTTTTTATCAGATGAGGATTATTATGGGGATTCCGATCAATTATATCACGAAGATGTCAAGAACGAAAATAGAACACAAAATATGGCGTTGCTAAATAACACCTCGCACAATAAAATCACAATCCATATTGGATTGTGATATTAGTTATTCAGTTAAATAATGCCATATTCAGTTGAATATGGCATTATTAAACTGAATATACTAGTGGTTATTAAATTATTGAATTAGATTTTAATTTTTAATGTGTACAATATCAAACTATTAAAAGTAGGGTCTCACTCGGTAAGTGAGGCGTTATACGCTCGCCGTTTTTAAACTGGATGGTAAGATTGATTGCTGATAAGCTAGAACTCTTAGATCCAAACTAATTTAGCATATTATTTTCCACATTTTTCTTAATAATAAAATGTGAAGATAAATGATGACAATTGACAATTGATTTTTAATTTATTCTAGAATCAATATAAATATTTATCCATTCATTCTGCTTATAATTTGAGTATACAATAGATACTCAGTGTTCTTATATCACAATTTGATTTAATTATTTAAAATTTTAAGAAAGTAATTTATAGGTACTATATTTAGATAAGTACATATTAATGTAACTGAAATTCTTATGTGAACTTTTAAAATGTTTCTCAAATAACAAATAGATTTACAATATATAAATCCAAAGATTTTTAGATTTAAGATACTATTAAGAGAAATTCGTCCTGGCAGTTACGTCGTTAAAAAAGTAAATTAATCCTAAATGTTGGTAGATCTGGAAATAAGGATTCTTTAGAGTATGTAATGTATTTATGATATTGTAGAGACTATGCCGTTGGTAATATACAGCAATCACCGCTGTGTATCACAGCTTGCCATAGCATGAGCCGTATGCTTCGCAGTTACATTTATTCGTATATTAGCTTTGTCCGTCGTCATATTGTGATGTTGAATAGCATATAATCTTCCTGAAGGTATGGGCTAACAAATGTGAAAAAAAAAACACTTTTGATATTTCCAGAAATAATTGCGTTCAAACTGCTTCATTATATTAATATAAATAGTACAACAACAAGTAAACACCTCTTATATTGAGATCTGGTTAAATAATAAACATTCATAAATATATATTTTTCTTTTATTTTAATTTCTTTCCTAGATGAGTATATTGAGAGACCATAAACTTCGCCCAGTTGATGAAATAAATAAATAAATAATAAAGAAGCATGTGTGAAATTGATTCAGAATGTCCAGTTTCTTTTTAATAATTTTTTCTCTCACGATGCAATAGGTTCTTGTATATATTTTTACAATTCATAATTAACGCTAATCACATAAAACTATTGAGCATTATTTTTATTTATAAAAAAAAAAACAATATTCTAGTTTTGTAACAAAATAAATCAAATGGGTATTAACTAATTGTATAAATGTATATGAATTGTAATATCTCATAATTTCGGGTCTAATTAATTATGCTATTGAATTTTGTATATTTCTATTGGAATGTATTGTCCATTGAATCATAACTACAATACTGATAAAAAAAAATCCTTTACAATCGACGAGATTTACATGTTTTCAACTTAAGTAATTGCATAAACTACGCTGATTTCTTCAATAAAATAGTGAAAGTACAGCTCTGATTCAATGTACAGCAACGCATAAATGAACAAGGGTGTACAATCGTCTAGGTATATTTTGAAGGACACTTAGTTAATGGATAAATAAAATTGAACACATTGTCAATTTTTTATAGATAGTAGTAGTACAGTTAAAATATAGTATAGTATTTTCTCCACTGAATTTATAGTGCCACCGAGAATACGGATAATTAATTACCTAGTAAAATTTAAATTGCTAATATTTTCTCTTTGTGGAAGTGAGTTTCTATGATTAAATAATTTTCATATAATTTATTAATTATTTACAAATTAATTATTAAAACTTTACATTAAAGGAAACGTGAAGTGGAACAGTCTTTATAAAATTCGATGTTTATACACGACAAAATGTTAATTGTATATTTTTATATTTATATTTTATAACAGTTTAATATATACAAAACGAATTAATGTAAATATTTATAATGAATACACTTAAAATCACTCAGTAGGCAGAATGGTTATAAGTCCATAATAATAATATTTTAAACAATAAATTGTCAATAAATATAAAATGAATTATATTTAATAAATCTTAAAAATAAAATACAACACAAGACTTGCTAATTATTTAAATGTAATGTTTATTAAGCGTAAAATCTTGCAATATTTTAGTAATATTAATAGGCCTTTTATATCACTATTATACAAAAATCTAAGAAAAAAATATACAAATAAGATATTTATTGCTTACGTAAAGGTAGCCAGATAAAATTTAAATAAGTTATTAATTGCGTCGTTTATCATTTAAAGTGACAGTCAATTTAAAATTCTTAAAAATATTTACTGTTATAATGCTTTACATTTTAGTATAAATCTATAACATTTTATTCGTATAAATGTAAAAGAAATTAAATTTATAAAATACTTTTTATAAATTTAAGTAAAAAAATAATTAGACAATGTCACATTATTTTTTTACTTGAATTTAACACATTAATAAAAAAATTCTTAACTAAAAATCATAGACGGATCTCACCATTCTGATAACAATATATATAATTACAAACACTAAAATGACATTTAGTTTTTGCTGTTTGACAGCAGTCTAGCTTAGCATCCATCGAAATTTAACTATAGTGTAATTTATACTTAAACTCAATAGAAGAAGATTCAGTTTCCTTTAACGTGAAGTCGACTATTTTATAAACTAAACGCAGCTCTCCCTTGCATTTGCTAGCAGCGGCGTCCGTGTGGTGACCACCTCCCTTCGCCGTGAAAGGGTCCCACTAGTCACGCTTCGTCTATCCTCAGCCAACGTACCAATACTCTATAGACCAAAATTGCAAGTTAGGGTTGTATATTATAACACAATTATGCATATATACAGTTATTATTTAAAATTATTTTTTTTAAAGTATGGTAAATAACATATTTTAAAAATATGCATCTTACAATTAGAAGCTAACATTCAACAACTTTTATCTAATTAACTTTTTGTTCCACAGAAAAAAAATCAACTTCAATACTCTATAATATCCATGGTACTATTTATGACTATAGGCGATGTGTACCATTTTCTATCTATCAAGTAGGTTGTCAGCTTATTTTGAATTATAAATTGTATAGAAAAAAAAACTCAGTTCTATGCAAACTGGTGTTAAATGTATAAATTTTATTACAATACTTTTACACTTATATTAAATGTCTATACAGACATATACCAACAATTAACTTTGCAATAAAACATTTCTTATACTAATAGGAAATAAAAAAAATATTGGCCAACCCTAGTATCTTCAATTACTAGAATTTGGGCCGGATGCCAGAGTAACCCAAGCAAAATACTTCACCTGAGCGTCAGACGCTGGCGTGTTCGGAGTGTGGGGTGTGTTTGACCTCACTTCGTGCTGTTGCAAACTATGCGTGCTTCTAGATGACCCCACTGGGGGTGACACCACACCCCCGTAAGGTGGGGGCTCGGGCGGACGTTCTAAGTCACGTGTGCAGTTATAATCTGTACAGAATAAAATGTACTTTATTATTATTATTTTTTCGTGTCACATTTGTTTGAACATGTATTTAAAAATGTAGTAATGCTGTAATTATACTATATTTTAATACGTGAAGCAAAAACTTTGTACCCATTTTTATGAAAATTGCGCAAACGGAAGGGTATGAAATTTGGCACATTTATAGTTTAAATAAGTAAGAGTAAGAGTGCAGAATGCTAAAATTTTTTTTAATTATGCATAAAAAATACATCAAAAACATCACACACACACACACTACCATGTATTTGATACACACACGCATATATATTCTTTTCTTTGTTGTTAAAGTCTGTGGTCAAATTGTGAATAGATTAATATTGTCTTCAGTATTATTTGTCTATAGTTTACTGAATATCAAACATAACCATAATAAATTATTTTTTTTTTAATATACGTTATTGTAGAATTCCGACCACTGCCAGATCAGCTAGTATATGAAAAGAATAAATATTAATAATTGGAATTTAAAGATATTTCGATTTAGAAAACTCGTCCTGTACTCGTTTTCTTAAAAAAAAAAAAAACAGTGACTTTGATTAAAATTAATATGAGACCAACCTTCAACTATCAATGGCAAAAAGAATCATAAATACCTATTTAGAACAGGCAAAGATATCGTGTAACATGCACGAAAGGGAATCTTCTGCGTATGAAAATTCCTTATAAAATACTGACACCTATCGGCAATAATATCAGTATATTTAGCTACAGTCAAATACCATGTAATCAAAATATCGAGTAAGATAAATTTAATCGTACAAAGACCCAATTAAAGATGCTCGTATTATCGATTGATAGGTACATCATAATCATATTAGTCGTTAACTGTCCACTGCTGAACATAAGCCTCCCCCATAAAGGGGAGTTTTGCCAGTACATGCCACGCTTGGTAAGCGGCTTGGCAACTGCAATTAGAATTTGGTGATGCTTTAAGAGAGACGCTGCTGCCCATCCCTTGGCTATTAACTTTCCTTAGTCGCTTCTTATGACACCTACGGGAAAGGAAAGTGTAGCCCATTCTATGACAAGACTACATGGTATACATACAAGATAGGTACATACACGTATTAAATGACCGATGTAAAATATTATAAGTATTTCTCAAAATTTTCCAGTTCACGACTCATTTGTTTCTTAATCTGTGTCTACATAAATTACTTCTAAAATATTCTAAATTAATTCAATAAACATCAATTTATCTGAATTTGAACAGTAAACAGTTTAAAGTTTCGAATCCTCATCGGATGGAAAACTTCGTGATTTAATCCTTTGGATATAGGTTGGTGCTTTATACTGCTACAAATTGATGATAAATTTGATTTAAAACTGTCATGTTCCAACTCTAGTCGAACTTCTAACATTTCTTTTAGGTATTTCGGTGCTCGAAATTTCGTTTAAAAATATAGATTTTATATTTATCAAAAATAAAAGCGACTTTTTCAGAGAATATATCATCAAAAAAGGAAAAGACGCCCAGACAAAAGATTCATTTATTATTACTGCATCACAAACGTACGGAATATTGTCGTCAATTTTAAATGAAACACCTTAAATTATAAAGCCTTGCGATCCACGAATCCCATTGTAAAATTAGAAGCAAATTATGAAATTTTGCTAATAAAGATAAATTTACAATGAGTTTGTCGAAGGCATCAGTGCAGTGTTGGGGACAAAATCTGAATCTGAATGAAATTGTGTATAGAAAGTCGTTTGATTTTTTCATAGTATACACACGACATTAACATTAATAGATTGAGTTAAATGAGATATGCAGAATTTTGTAAGAATGACTTATCTTAAGAATAATTTTACATATTGTTAGAAAAGTCAATGAAATTACATACTTGTATAATAAAAAACAACTCGAAGTTTTATGTCCAGAATTTGTGTACATTTTTAAGTCTCCTTTTGCTGGTATCAATATCGGGAACTGACTTTGGCGTTTAGACAAAGTCAGTAACGAACATGAGTGACCTTAAAATACTCATCCAAAATATTCAAGTCGATTCCACGCTGTCTGAAAATCGATTCATTTCACAGCGACAATAAGGAGTTAGCTCTGACTTTGAAGTCAATAACAAATTTGATGTAGGTAAATTAACTAAAAATTTTACAAAAGAAATAATTGAAAACTTCAAGCTTATTTTTAAATAAGCTTGTTACAAGTAAAACACGTTTCTCCTATACATCAATTACATAATTAAAAATTGTGTCCCAAAAAAAACCTATTTCAAGTACGACGAAACCAGTTATTTTGATCTAAAAACTAAACTACCAAACTGATTTTAATCAAATTTCTATGGGTACAACAATCTGTAAGTATGTCCTTTCAGATAAAAAAGAGTTTTCCAAATCGGTTTCGAATTGACAGAATTATGTGAACCTCTTTTTTAAGACAATTAATAATAAATCTAATATTAGATAAATAATAGCTTCAAACATAGAAGCCAGAGGACAGATACAAAATTAAACAGATTCCTGAGTGGAAAACAAATATCAAACGGACTGTAATATTTGGTGTAAAAGTTTGTATCACAAAAAGAAGCTGTTTATAACAATGAAATGCATTATACAAAACTACTCGAGCTATTTGCCTTCCATTATACATTTGAGTTGACTTTGTAACTGAAACTGGTAATAAATTCGTTTAAAATTTCCATTAATTTCGCTTCTAACTCCGCCACGGTAATATAAATGAAATGTAAATAACAGCGATATTATATATACGTAAACTAAAATTTAGCATATCAACACTGGATGCCTAAATATGAAATCTAAGTAAACGTATAAAGCCTTGATACACGTGTACCTACTTGAAAATTTGCAAATTTCTCTTCAATATTATATAGGATCGTATTAGAGATATCCATAAATAACTGATTCTATGTAGACGAAGAAATAGTATTATAAAAATAATAGTAACAACCAATGGTTTTTTGTATGATTTAAGATAAAAAAAATGGATTGTTTTTTATATCATGAAGGCATAACAACATACAGCCCGTCTGATGATAAACGATCACTATAGTCTATCGATACCTGCAACACTAGAGATATGACGTGCGTGTTGCTGACTCTGATGAAACCTTAATACACCCTTTGTGAAGAACCCAACACTATAGTCTCTATGTTTAAGTATGGTCCATTTAATTAAATTTGATGCCACATATATGCGGAACACAGAAATAATAAACAATTAATTTATTAAAAATAAAAAAAAAAACATACCTATAAAAATAATAAGAAAGTGATGACCTTGTAAAGCTTGAATAGATCTACATAAGTTATGGCTAAATTATCATGTCAGCTTTAAAAAAAAACCGCACTATAATCGATCAATTCGTTAAACTTATAACACTCTTTTTTACATGAGGGGTTAAAAAAAAGTTCACACGAATTAAATTTCATTCCATTTTTAAAGTTAACAATGTGAAATCAATGCAAGCGATAACAAAGGCCTATTTATATAAATAGGAAACGGTCGCTTCAGCGTTTGATTATATCAGTAATGACCGCATGTAAGCAATCAACAACAGGGTACAATTTGTCATATACCGACCGCTATATTTCCTGTATAGTCGGAGTTTACAGCGGTCCATCATAATGAACGGTAAAGCCTATCAATTTGTACAGTAATTGTACTAAAACTGAAACCGTTTGGTTTTGGATTTCATTTGAAAATTTACTACGATGTTATTGACAACTAAACGATATCTACGAATTTGTTTGCAAAAATATATTTGAGCGTTACCTTTGCGTTCTTTTTTTTAAAGGGAATTTTAAATTGCAGAACGTCATTTTTTTTTTTGTAGAAATGTTATACGTTTTTTTTTTCTTTTCATTTAAGAGTTCTCTCTTGTCGGTGCAACTGATTCATGCATCTTCTTCCAGCCAGCTCTATGAGCCCAGGCCATATTATACGATTACATCTTTTAATTATAAATTTATTTTTATAATTATTTTATCAGCATGGAGTTTTTCAAAATATGGGTAAAGAGGCTTCTTCAGGGCTAACAACCCGCACGTAACACTTCTAGAATTGCAGGCGTTCATCGGCTATGGTAACCGCTTACCATAAGATGGGTCATATACTTGTTAGCCAGCTCAGTACCTAGTATAAAAAATATTTAATCAATAAGTATTACTTCTATGTTAGTTCCATATTAATTTTATGACATTATATTCTCATTTGTGAATGAAGATAGATTTAAATATTGCTAAAGAATGAAGTAACAGGTATTAATAACATCATCTTCTCGTCTCTTCGGAATAAATAAACCTGATCTGCTATCTATTTCTAAACATGAATAAACAAAATATATGAATATGATATTATACTTATATAGCAAAGTTCTTAATATGATAAAAGCCAATATATCCACCCAGGGGGGAATGGAATTGTAAGTAATGGAGACTGAGAATCCCATTGCTAGCAATATACCCAACCAGGTCGACCTCCTCGCGGTTCCCCCTGGAAACTATCATGGTTAATTCCTGATGAATTTATCATGATGGGCTAACCGGCCTGTTTTCATTCTCATCTATCACCATTCACTGGTGCTCCGCTAGCGTATCCCATTAGCGCAGGCGGAGTTAGCGTCAGCATACCATTTTCACCCATAAAAAAATATATCCTCCCAAATTATCATAGTTTGCCTAAATAACCACGTTATTATAATTCCTGCCTTTTATAAAACATATTCACTCAAAATAAGAATTCTGTTTTGGTTTATCGATCGCTCGTGTCGAAATCAGCAGCCAATTTACTCATTTTATTTACAGATTCCCTTTAATATTTTATCAATATTCGCCTGAAAATATAGATTACTGGCTATTTATTAGGCTCCGCCGCAAAATTAAGCTTCTCAAAATATTTTACTATAATATTTACAATAGGCTTTGTACAGTCGGGGTCTATAACAACCACAGACACGCCACTAAGCTGAGAGGCTCAAACAGACTCTAGGGAAATCTGTTCCAATCTTGTTTATAATTTAAATTCTCATAAAGGTAAAGGAATAGTGAATTTTAATTATACAGAATGGGAATTTATTTTATTATTATCATTAATGAATAAAAATAAAGTAATATTTAAATATTTATTTAATTATTTTTTTACTGTTTATTTTAATTTTAATTTAATATATTTTTGAGTAATATATTTAGGTCATTATAAATACTACGTTTCTTAAGAATATAACTGTATTGTTACATTCTTAAAGAACTTAATTTTAAAATATTACTAACTGACCTGGCAAACGTTGTTCTGCCTTATAAATGATTTTTTTCTGCATAGGGACACCCTAAGCATCTAGTGGTATGAAATATATTTAACGATCTATTCTCATACCTACCAAATATATATATAAAAAATTCATAACAATCTGTCGAGCCGTTTCGGAGGAGATCCACCACAAACACCGTGACACAAAATTATTTTTAATTTAGTAAAAAAATTGTATGTTTTTTATAAATCGGTTTATAAAATTAACAAATCGTAGCAATAAAGGTATTTATAGAGAATGTCATTAGCGTTAAGTTAGCTATTTCTAGCAAGTTTGTACCAGCTTTGCCTTTGTTCCTGAAGAAGACTTTGTAAAAAAGTCGTTTGCTTGGGTACCTCTGTCCCATTCGTGTTTATACCATGAAGCAGCTGTGTTTGCATGGCTGTGTTTCAGTTTGAATGGTCTATATGGCAGTGAATTTATAGGGTACAGAGGAATAACACCTTAGTCCTCAGGAATGGCAACGCATGGAGGTATCATGGGCGAAACAGTATACTCTGTTATGCCCATAGTACTGCTCATATCTATAGGGATGGTTACCAATTTCCTTCGGGTGGGCCGTCAGCTTGTTTGCCATTCTAAGTTGCAAAAAAAGTTCAACTGCTAAGTCAAATTTAACAAATATATGTCGATATATAAGGTATACTCTTAAAATTAGCAGTGAAAAATTGTTCATAGAATTCTATATCTAAAGAGAGACATACCTTTGCCAAGTGGCACGACATCGGGATTCTTGTCATCAGGCTGTATCGGAGAGTGGTTGTTGCTTTGTATTGTTCCTTTGTAAGCCTTCACAGTTTGTATTGGGGCTAGAAAAGAAAAGGGCTTTATGAATAAATGAAGCCTGCACTTTACTACACAGAATACCTGGAACATTCAAACAAGGCTTATATTGCTTACTTATATATTAAAGTAAATAAATAGCATAGAAAAAGGAACAAATTTGAACTGTAGCAAGTACCTACAACTGTGAATTGAATTGAGTTTTATATGATCTAGAAGTACTATAAATATGGTTTGAATTAAAGAATATATAGGTAATAGATTAATTTTAATTAAATTTTATTTCTTAATTCACATTAATAAGATTATTTTGCTGAATTTAAAATTAAATATAAGTTGGGATTGAAATATATTTCAGAATCTACATTAGTACAGTCAAACAAGTATACATATGCCTAACAATTCTCACATTTGTTTTCTTTATAAATGTTTTAGATATTAAATTATAATGAAATTATTTATAAAATTCATTATCTCTCCTAAACAAATGCTTACTATACACAAATTTTTATTAAAAGTAATGAGACAAAGAAAAACATATGTACAATGAAAATTACAAACCGTTGCCGTTATATTAAATTAACTCTATATGAAATATGAAATGAACAAGCATTTTATAACAGAACACACTTGTATCGCAAATGCTAAACAAGCCTTTGTTCAAACAGTATAAAACGAGTGAAGCGTAATTTGAAGTCACCCCCAAGGGTTCAGTATAAATTTTCGACTTTAGTATTTGCTAACACCGGGGCTGGAGCGATACGTGACCTGTGAACATTTGGTATTTATAGTATCCAAACGTAAGGAGTACACCGCGTCTGCACAAAGCCAGGATATATAGATTTAGCTACTTATTTACGAGCTTAAATATATTATTCAGTTTTATTACATAATAGTTTATGATATTCGTGACAGATCACGATAAAAGTCAGTTTCAAGTTCCGAAATATGCGTACAATTTCGTATCCTAAAGTTGTTTTTGCTATAATATGTAGAATTATTGAACTTAGTTAATAATTTATCAATGTCTGTAGATCCAGACCTGTGGTCGTTTAGTTTCGATTCTATTTTATTATAATTTAATATATTAATACTACTCGTATAACAAAGTACAATCTACAATATCACCAGAGAGAGACTTTGTACAAAGGTCGTCTGCTTGGGCACCTCTCTCATTCGTGTTTCAACCATAAAGCTGTTGTGTTTGCATGGCTGTGTTTCGGTTTGAAGGGTGGAATATGGCGTGAATTTACAGGATACGGAGGAATAACATCTGAGTCTTCAGGAATAGCAACGAATGGGGGGTATCATGGGCGAAACAGTATACTCTGTTATGTCCATGGTGCTGCTCATGTCTATAGGCGACGGTTACCGCTTTCTATCAGATGGGCCGTCAACTTGTTTGCCATTCTAAGTTGTATAAAAAAAAAGTTTATCTTAATCATAACTTTAAAAAAAATAATGATGATAGTAGGTGTATTTACATTTACAAGTACACTTGTACAAGTTTAATTTCCACAATATCGTGCTAGTATTATATTATATCTGTGAATATATTATCTTTTTATTTATGTATTGTATCTGTGTGAGTATATTGGATATAGAAGAAAATAGATGGTATTCGAATTGGCACGTGTCGATTATACAAAACAACGGGACTTTGACATGCCATTCGGTATTTAGGTCCTAAATACACCTGGCACTAGCCTGGCACAGCCGAATGTACCAATAACGTAAGAATATTTTATAAGCAATAAATATTATTTGCAAAGCTATTGTAATATTATTTTTGTAATGGACAGGTGGCTTAAAATGTAATTCCATAAATGAGAGAAAAGAAACTTTATTTAGATTGTAAATATTTACGAGTATATATATTTTCATATTAACTTATAAATTGTAACTCATTTATTAAAGATAAATAATGATAATAATTCTGAATTAATGTTCAATTTCGAGCAAGTAATCCATTCTATTAGTGTTACACAATTTATTGTGTTAAGAAAATATAATATTATGTAATATTAAATTAAATATAATATTATTGAAATAGTAATCTTAAAATTACGAAACAATACTCGTTGTCAATGCTTATCATCATTATCATCATACCAGCTATTATCTGTTCTCTACTGAATATAGGCTTCCCTCATAGACTGCCATAAGGAACGGTCCTAAATCATCTGCATCCACTGGCTCCCTACAATGTATTTAAGGTCGTCACTCCATCTAGTGGAGAAATGTACTACACTGCATTTCAATGCTAATGCAAACTGTAAAATACGAGTACATTATAAGAGCATTGTAGGTACATTTTTCACTAGCAACGAGAAACTTGGAAGCATTTCAAAATTCGATACAAAATGTTGAACAGCTGAATATCATTTCCGTTCGAGTGTGTTGCGAAGGAAACTTAATAAAACTGTCGTATACAAGTGACGAAACATCTGCAATTTCAATGGAAATACTGAAAGACATAAATCACGTCTGAAATGCAGTGAATCCGCAGCCGACGCGGTCGGGGCGTAGAAAAATTCAAGTCACGCCACTGAATCTGCCTCCATTCCCGCTAAGTTCCCTGCCGAACTCATTCCGTTTTATTTGTGGTCTAACGGACTTCTTTATATCACTCTAAGACAATTTACCAGCTATTGCCTTCGAAATTCTATCAGAATACCCAACGTTATTAACTCACAATAGGCTAGGAATACAGCGAGCGTTCGGAGGGAAGAAAACGTTTATGGCTGCATTAGAACATTGGTTATACTTGACTTATAATGGTTTTGGAAGTTCAAGGAAAACAAGCAGAGTTTATTAAATTTTAGATATTGGGGCTGCACGTTTTTTTTTTTGTTAATAAGAGATGAGAATTTACGCGATAATTTAGGTAAACTATCATAATTTATTTAAATTATCTCGACGTTTCAACCAGGTTACATTCCTACTCGTAAATACGGTCGGTGTAAACTGATCAAAACATCGAGATTTTTATTTTTGAATTATTATATGAGCCCTTAACTGTTCACTGCTACACATATGGCCTTTCCCATAAGGGAAGGATTACCAGTAGTTGCCACGTCTGGCAGGCAGGTTGGCATCCGCAGTTGGGCTTTGATGATGTTTTAAAAATGGTGCTGCTGCTCATCCCTCGACTATTAAGTTACATTGGTCGCCTCTTACGATACCTACGGTAATTAAAGGATACTCAATTCGATCGATAAACATCAAAATTATTCAGGTAAGTTATCATTGGTTACTTAAATGGTTGCATTAATTGCCGTCTTTTAATAAACAAAAAGCAGAATTTATAATGTAACATAGATTCCAAATCAGTTGATAAATTGATCCTTAGTTTTGATTTTTATTTCTGATAAATATTAAACTGTTTGGTGTACAAACTTGCTTGGTACTTATTAACGCTTTGAAGGTTTAACTAATAAAAAAAAAATACAAATACGTAGTATTTTAGATGAAAAAACACATTCATTATTTTTTATCATAGTTACTTGAGCAAAGTCATAGACACTGCCAGCTGTTAAATAAAATCACAAAATAGAACTCTTACCTTCATACTGTAAAGGCCGGTGATGCCGTCTTCTAGCCAATAAGGCAATTACAGCCAGTGCAGCTAATGTGCCTCCGATGCCAGCCACAATACCTAATGCCCAACTGATATCCATGCTACCGCCGTTGATTGTCTTCGCTTCTGTCAAATGGAACAAAAATTCTAAATTGAAATATTATTTAATCACTAGCTTTTCCCCGTTACTTTGTATTTCAGAGGTAGGAAAACTCTTGAAAGAAACTACTTCTTAATGGCGTATAAAGATATAATATATGCCAAATTTTATGTTATATAAGCCTTCAGGAATACAAGTGTGATAACCGCATTCAATTTGATGCAATAGATTTGCGCGATACCGTAACAAACAGACAGAGAGACAGACAGAGATATTTTTTAAAAAATATCATTTTTGTTTCTATTAATTTTAATAAGAAATCTAATATTATTATATGTTTTCTTTATATTTTACATCGTCTAGTTACAATTTTATTATATTAGTAAGATAATTTAACCGCATAATTCCGACAGTTAAGATAACCGGCCATTAAATATTCGACTATCGCCCATTTAGCCCAAAAGCTGAATTTATCAGATTCGGATTTATATGTGACTATTAATTACCTACTTAATAATAATGGTAAAACATTTAATATAGAAAGATACTTAATTAGAATTAAGTACAAATTGTGCATTATAATCATAATTTAATAATTTTAATTTTGTTTTAGGATTTAAACCTTCCAATAAAACTAAAAGAGGTGTCTTTCAAATGTGATATCTATACAGCGTGAGTTATGCATTTAATTTTTTTAACAGGATTTAAAAAAATATATAATAGCGCCATTAAAAAGACGGGGTTCTCAAATCTCCTGTATTTTTACATTTACTAACTTTAATAATTGATTTTGCAGTTGATAAAATTTACTGCCGTATTGATTTTAAACTAATATTATTTCAATTAAGGTAAGTTTTTTTATGCAAAGTCACCGAGACAATAATATAAAAAGGTAATGTAAGAAATGTTTACATACCCGTATGTAATGCTAATCTGGACAATGTATGCACCCTTAATGTGGTAACTTCTGATCTTCCTCTTGCATTGTTCGCGTAGAATATTAATTTCAGTGCTTTCCCCGAGCCTAATCCACGTAGTTTCCATATCGGTGTTGGGGTAGAAGCGTTCGCTATGAGAGTGCCCGCTTCCCATGCTTCTACGAAGTAAATTGTATGGAGCCCTCCGTCGTAACCTTCGGAATAATATATTGTTATATTTATATATAATAAATTGTTATATTTATCAATTTATCAATATTTTTTTTGTGAAAGTAGATTACTGATTTATTGGTTCTAAATTCTTGTTTCGTTCACCCCCACAGCTGAGGCATTTCTTACAATCATTTGCTTAGCTCCACTAGGTATTGAACTAAATTGAGTAAGTTTCTTACATCCCTATAATTATAAATTAACCATCCCTTGTTATTTTATTCATAAATATACATTTAGTTTATAATTATGATTATTAGATACCTAAAACAGTAACATCTGAAAGTTGTTAGGTCAAAGCGTAATAAGTTTAAATATTTTATTCAAGTACTTTATTATGATACGGAATGAATTTATTTAAATTATTATTCTAAGAATATAATATTACATATATTTATCTGAATTAAATAATATGAATATTAAACAAACTAAATTTTAAAATTAATTAAAATAATCATAAATTAACTAAAATGTAAAAATAAATAAAATTATTGTAAAATAATAAAATTAAGGGCTGTACTAAACTTACCTGGAAAACATCTCAGTTCAGCAGAATCATCAGTTAAGTTTTGTGCGGTACAATTGAAAGGTGGGTCAGGTCTGACAGCTGGTAGCAGAGTGTACCGACACGGCTCTATTTGCTGTCCAGCCAGATTCGTAGCCCTGCAGGCTAAGGAACCGTAGTCTGCTTCTGTAGTTGGTGTGTAAGTGAGGATTGACCGTCCAGCGCTGTCTATTGTGAACTTGCCCTAATGAATAAAAGAGAGAAAAAAAAACATTAACAGGCGTATAATTCTTGTAGTTATTTGCTTGTTTGTATAAACTTTATTATTCATTCAGATTTGACACGGATATAAGGTTATAAAGAAAATAAGAAGGTACACAGGCAGACTTCTCCCTTCCAGAGGTTTCTTCCAGTCAACCTTGAGAATCTGAAAGACCAGAAATATCAGAGGGAGACTTTGTACAAAAGTCATTTGCTTGGGTAGCTCTGTCCCATTCATGTTTCTACCGTGAAGCATTTGTGTTTGAGTGGCTGTGTTTCAGTTTGAAGGGTGGGATATGGCGTGAATTTACAGGATACAGAGGAATAACATCTGAGTGTTCAGGAATGGCAACGCATGAGGGTATCATGGGCGAAACAGTATACTCTGTTATGTCCATGGTACTGCTCATGGACATCTATAGGCGATGGAAAGTTACCACTTTCCATGACAGGTGGGCCGTCAGCTTGTTTGCCATTCTAAGTTGTATTAAAAAATCAATTTATTTACAGTGGCTATTTGTAAACGGGGGAGGTCTATATGTAGCCGTGGATAATGGCTGAAATGATGATGACGATTTGTAAATGGCATAACACAAAATACCATAAAATAATATATATAAATTTATATTTGTTTTTCACTTATTGTGTATTTCATTTATATTTAAGTGTAGTGGCTTTAAGATATATTATTCTGTATATTTGATAGTATAATAAGTGTCTATGAGGGAAGTTTAAAACTTATAATCATGACAGTAGTTTCCACCATCTTGATGATGATGATATGTCTCATTTACACAGTCATAAATTTCAAAGACACTATTTCCTATTTTGTAAATTGAGTTCGTTTGTCACTATATTATTAAATAGGAATATTAAATATTCAAATGCAAGTAATAAGCAGAAGATTATATAGAAAGAACCTCTGTGACATATTATTTGAAATGTATTTTTTCATTTGTCGTACGATAAGGATATCAAATAATGACAGATTACATTTGTAACTATGTTTTGTTGTAAAATAAACTTTATTGATTTACAACTAAAAAACAAAATCAATCTAAACCGAACTGTAGGCTATAACAACTTGATTGACTGTCTCTTTTTTTTCTTAAATACAATAAACAAGTTATGTTTTAATGGCGAATATAAATTACATTTTTTTTCCTGGTGAACTTATTAAGATGAACCAACTGACTTAATTTCATCGTCACTAATATTTCGTCACCGTAAACTATTACTTCGCCTTGATTTTTAATTCCAATTTTTTTATTTGTCCAATTAAAAACAAAACTTAAATAGAAGTGCATAAAGTCATTTATGATTTGTTTTCAAATATTAAAATATCAGCATAGCTTTAAATTACTTGTCAGATTCTTTTACCATGAGGAGGTTTTTTCAAAACACAGTTTGGCAAATGAGCATGCGGCTCATATGATGGTAAATTATTTAAATTTAAAATTATATCATATTTACACACATAGACTTGTTTACAAACACTTTCAAATCGTATTTTTTTTTTATCTACTGCTGGGTTCGAAAAGTAGTTATGTGTTGAGAAGAGCCCGCAAGATACTTAACAGTTACTCTTTTACCGCGGCCCATAAGCACTTGCAACATCTGATAAATTGCATGTAAAATATTTAACATGAAATATGTTTTTATTTTATTCTTTTTTATTTTAATTACTTTAACAACTAATATAATAAAGTCTAACAATAATAATACCATATTTATAACTAAATAAAAATTGACAATAAAATTTTCAATCATTAAATAAATGCTCTAGCGATATGACTGCTTTTTTACCTTTATGTTAACATTTTAATCTGTACTTTATATGTCATTGTTTATGTTTATGTTTCTGGTGCAATAAGAGTTAGATAAATAAATGTTCAAATTAAAACAATTCTGTTTCTCAATTCTAATTCATATTTACTCATATTTTAGTTTCATTCTGCAATAAATTTTTAAATTGTCATAAATATATAATTTTCACAGTCTTTCAATTTAAATAATCTTTATTCAAATATAGTTGTTTACAAGCACTTTTAAATTTTTTTTATGATTACCCTATTTTATAGATCTCAGAAAAATTCATAGCAACCAAAATTTACTTAATAAAAGAAATTTGTGGAATGCAAAATAACATGTGTACTGTTAAATTATTTTAGAATAAATTTTCGTATACACTTTTGTACACAATTTGTTTCGTAAACGTACCAAACTATTCTTCAAACAGAAGAAATACCAAGAGAAAATATAAAAGATTGTGAAACGCAGCGAAACTTTATAGATATGACACATACAATTTATGGTTCGCTAAACTTGCATTCAGTATGAAAACCGGGAATCCTATATGTGATACTGCATTGAGTGTTAGCACTCAGCAATTGCATGTTTGGTTTTAGTTTACTGGGAATTTGTCCTATTTACTTATAGCATTTAAGTTTATATACGTTATTGATTGGTTGAATCTGGAAATGAGGATATCCAAAAGATATTCCAAAAGAATCGACATAGCCCGAAGGATAACCAATCTGAAATGGCAACGGATTAGTCACACAGTTTGAAGAACCGACAACCGATTGAGAAAAAACCTTTCTTGAGCGGTAACTCCGTATAAACGCAGTGTAGGATGACTACTCACTAGATGGAGCGGTGCCCTAAGGCAGTGCAGGGATTCAACGGATGCAGGTGGGTCGGGACCGTTCCTTATGGTTGTCTATGGGATCAGATATGAAGACGATGATTTATAGCATTTAACTCACAATACAACTACTACTAATCGTGTGAAGATACCGCCCTCTGGTGTCTAGAATTACCACCATTGTTGTATACGAAAGCCTCTGACAAAACTTACTGGACGATGGCTTTAAGAGTCTTCCGAAGCACAAATCACGTGAGAGTAATTTTAAATAAATTGAAATATTAAGGCTGAAATTTTGACTACGGACGCAGTAAGGGATATCCAATTAAGCTCTCACCGCTGAATATATAAATTACTATCCTGCAAGGGCGTTTGAATGGATGGATAACTCTTTTACTCAAAAACTACAAATCAGTTTTGAATGATATTTAGTACATAGATAGGTTATATCCTAACATTAAACATAATTTACTTTATATACTGACTTACATCTGCAAAGCCAAAATACGTCTAGTAATTTCATTTCACATCAACAAAGTTTAAAGCTTCATAATTTTTTAAATCGATTGGTATGAATTTTATTGAAAAGTTTATTGAAAAAGCAATAACATTGCAACAATGTAGCGTATCAGGAATGTTTGCGGAAGAGTGAGGGGAGAGTTATTATTCCGTAATACATAAACGTTCCGCGCCAATGATGCGTAGAGTGCAAGCAAAATGCTATTCGCATTATAAAAATTATATCTAGTAATTTGGGACACTACTTTGATATTAAACTTGTAAGTTTAATTATTTCTATTAATATTAAATAGCTTGCGTAATTGAGGGACATTTTGACCACTGACAAAAAAAACCTTTATATTTGCTTTATCTGGAATTAGTTCAACAAACAAATCGTGTCAAGTCTACTTAACAAGAAATTCTTAAAACTCCAACAAAAAATATCGTCAATATAAGGTATGAGCGACAAAGTAAACCAGTAATATTGGAAATATACAAATATGTGTACATGAATAAGAAGTAACTAAAAAAACTAGGGCCATGAAGGAGAGTCAAAAGGGAACAAAAGATGTGTCACTTTTATAGATTTCACTGAATTTCATAGACAATAATATGAAAACTATTATTAATATAAGTGGCCTGTACTCCATTGTATTTTTTAAATAATATTTTTTTTAATATATACCCTACATGAACTAGTTTCTAAAATAAATTTTCATTCAAATAATAACATATAAGATTTAAACCTGCAACAGCTTAAGATAGCAAAGATACAAATTGCAACATTCTTTTCCAAAAATCTTCTAGCTTAATAATATTATGTTCGTGGTTCAATGTTAATAATTCTAATTATATTAATAATTCTTACTGGTTCCAACTCCACAGTTCCCAATGAATTGTTCAGCGTCCATTGAAAATTCTTCGGTGGAGGGAAAGCGTCGACTTCGCATGTCACTTTTGCTGCTTCATTGAAAGCTGCGCCAACAATTGCTGTCATTGTGTTCGTGCATACCGGTTTATCTGTTCGGATGAAAACGTACAATTTAATTTCTTTTTTCATCTTTATAAATAAAAATATTAATATGGAATTTAGAATTTTAATTTCATTATAATTATAATCTATTAAAATTTATGTTTCGTTGATGTACAATTTATGTAGACATTTATGCGATATTTTCTCTTCGTGCTAGAGAAGATTGTTTTGAAGCTTGTGTATCTGAATATTTCTCATATTGTAACTATTCTAGAACAACGACGGTCAGTCCCCATCAGGTAAACTAACATTTATTTGTTCTTTATTAAAAGAAACAGAAAATATACTTCTGTAATATTGAAAATTGAAATAAAAATTTTATTCTCCAACAGCTGTTTAGGGTATCTGTTGAGAGATAAATGAATCAGTCATCGGTATATTATATTTTATAATAAAAGTATATCCTTTCTAATGTTAAATTAATATCAATTAACAAATACTTTATTAAATCAGTTTAACAGTTCAGGTGATTAGCGCAAACGAACATCGTGACATGAAATTTTGAACAATACTTTATATCTACATAAATAAAAATAGAAATCAATTGTCAAATATACGTAAGCGTATCATTTCAGAACGACTGCATTTATTGGGCTTATTCGTTTTTTCTTTTATTTATAATTGTCAGGGCAATGTTACGAACATTGCCCTGACAATTATAAATAAAAGAAAAGAATAAAGTGTTTAAAAAATCGTATGGAAAGATAAAAAATTGGTTTTAAAATCTTCACATAAAAAAGTGAGTGAGATAAGAGATGGCTGGGACAAATTATTAACCATAATTACTTATTATATTATTTCATTACATGATCGTTTGAAACCTGAACGGGTACCTAGTAATATATAAAAGTATATTTTATTATTACATCCTAATTTACGTAACATCAATAGATAATAAAACCAATCTTTTCCCATTACCGAACACGAAATACTAATCTCGCCGACGAATACGATGATCTCTGACGATGATACCGATATTGTGTATTGCGTGGATACATTTCACTTAACCTTAAAAGAGATCGCAATCGAATTTGGCATCCTCAAATTTAATAAAAGCCACGTCCTATCTTAATCTATTAAATCTTTATTTATCCTTTTTTGACTCATCTCTAATTGGTCGTTGAAAGGATTTTTTTTATATGTTGATGACATTCCTCAATACATTTTTTGTATATTTTTCAATCTGGTTCCTCATTCATATAGTAATTTTGTTTAATAATGTATTTTATTAAAACATTCTCAAAGAAATAGTAGCTCATATAAAATGTCTTTACACAGTGCTATTTTAATCGGTTACTGACAAAATAAATGTTTTATTTTTTATAGTCGATAATTATGTAACTTTCTAAACGGATTACAGTTAAGTAAAATTGTATTTCACTGTAATTGATTTTTGTGATGCAGTGAATTATCTGAATGAAGTTCCGCGTTCGATTTTCTATTGGTCTAGACTTGAGAAATGAACTTTATAAATGGGTACGCTTCGTTCTCGTTTTACATCTTTTTTTTTAGTTCCGATTTCACCAATGTACATTTAAATTTGAAATTTAAACACCAAATCAGAAATCAATGTACTCGTTGTATTTCATTGAATTTAATTTAATCGATGAGTTCTAATTTTATGTAATTTATAATTACGTAAAATTTGGCATATCATAATATTTAGGATAAAACAAGATAGGCAACTTTTAAACCCGACCACGAAATTTCGGGCCCAGCTGTTGTTTTTATAATTATGTGGTAATAAAATCCTTTCATAGTTACTATGTGTCCTACATTCTACTACTGTTATTTGAACTGTATTAAATCCGATACAATAATTTGCGTGTTGCACGGCATAGATTCACGGCTTCACACACGATCGGAATCGTAAATTGAATGCCATCTATTGCGCGACACGTTAAGCAAATGTATGCAATATCGTACTGCACTTTGATTTCGAACACAAAGCAATGTAAACTGTAGGTTTATTACATGTCACCAGCTCGGGAACGATCATAATAAACGCAGGATCCTTTGAACGATCCGCTTTCAATATATTTACTTACTTATGTTTTTTTTTATTTTTTTTTAACAGTAACCGTTATATGTACTAAATGACCTTCATCATCATATCATATCAGCCATTAATTGTCTACTGCTGAACATAGGTCTCTCCCTATGGAAGGGTTTTGCCAGTAGTTGCCATGTTTAGCAGGTAGATTGGCAACAGTAATTAGGCTTTGGTCATGTTTAAAGAGGGACATTGCTGCTAATCCCTGGACCATTAAGTTTCCTTACGATACCCACGGGAAAGGAACGGCGTCTAAATGACATTGTGACAAAATAAATATTGAATAGTAATCCGAGTAGGTTACGATCGATATTAATTTTCTCATAAATCAACCCGCCTTTTTTGCGGTTCGAAATCTACATGTCATTATTAAGCCAGCCAGATATGTCTGACGTATTTTCATTCGATTTATATGTGTAATACTTAAATCTACTTAAACATATTTGGGGATAAAAGTCCACGTCCAAACGCGTCAATAATAAAAATAACAAATGGAAGGGTTAATCTCGTGACGTATGGCCCGAAATTAACCCGTAAAATGGTTATCATTCGTTTCGCGACAGTTCCGTTTAATATTTTAATTTCACAATAACAATAAAGGTTTATCCAATTTATTAGTTGAGGCGGTATCGTGTTTACATTCAATTTAAAACAATTAAATGTGTTGGCTGCCTCTGTACTTAATATTAAGTTAATATAATTTACTATTATAATGGCTGTGTGGTCCCTGTATAGAATTAGCCACCCTTTCCTTTCAGTTACTACTTACTCGAGAGATAGGCAACGGCATCCCTCTTAAAAAATTACCAAAAGTCCAACTGCAGTCGCCAACCGTGGCAACTACTGGCAACCCCCCCCCCCTTATTGGGGAGATCTAAGTTCAATAGTGGACGGTTAACAGCTGATGTGATGATTTATGGTGATAATATAATTTATATTTTTTATGAAACTTGAAAATTTAAACAGGTTGGCAATTCATCTAACGGAAAGATGGAAATAAATAACGCCTAAAGGCATAAACAGTATCTTGGAGTTTACAAAATAAACTATGATGATCTATAACCTTCTTCATGCCTTATAGTATGTAAACCAAATTTCATAGTAATACAAACAAACCAACAAAATCATTTTCTCATTTATAACATTAATAGGGATTTCTATAATATTAATATTTTAATAGATAATAAAATATAAATGCTAATCATTTGGTAAATTGATGTTTCTTTTTTATATACCACTGAGGTGGCAAACAAGCATATAGCCCACCTGATGGTCATCGGTTACCGTAGCCTATGAACGACTGCAATACCAGGGATAATACGCGCGCGTTGCCGACCCTGAAGAAATCTCTACCCCTTTTTTGAAGAACACATGCTGTAGTCTCTTGGAAAAACCTCGAATGGGAGCTCATTACATATCCCAAGCTTTAAATAAATATTTCTATAAGAAACAAATTGAATATTAATTTAATGACCGTTTACTTTCATATCATTAGTGGAGATAAATACTTATTAGTAATTTTTGTGGTATAAAAAAATATTACACATTAAGTTAATACTGTTCCAAACGCTCTTTACTAACCATCATTTTATTTGTAAAAAAAAAAACACATAAAAGCCGATGTATTTTCGTAAAAGCTTACGTGAAAGTAATATATTACTGCAAGTAATACAGATCAGATCAAATTTATTGCGAAAATGTGTAAATAAAACTGATTTCAATAAATACTTCATAAAAATGAATTTCGCCTTTATACGTATTTGCGGAGAATGAACATGTCATATTAAATATTATTATTATGTGTGTAGAGAATAGTTTCAAGTTTGCTCATATGAGTTGCTTCCGAGGCTTAATATTATACCTTCGTATATCTATTCTGTTTTAGAGATTGTACTATTTCTTATGAATTCCGGTAGTATTGTTTTTGATGGAAACAAACGTCGCAGAAAGATGGTAAACTGTTACTCGGATTTCATCAATTATTTCGAGACTATGACATTATATAACATTATATAACGAGGAATAACGTCTGAGTCTTCAGGAATAGTAATGCATGGGTGGTATCATGGGCGAAACAGTATACACTGTTACGTCCATGGTACTGCTCATGTTTATAGGTGACGGTTACCACTTTCCATCACGTGGGTCGTCAGCTTGTTGGCCATTCTAAGTTGCATAAAAAAATATTCTTTCAAACTAATCTTCGAAATAATTCAATCGATTTTAATGTATTTTTATCAACGGATTGTTATTTAAATAGTATCTAGTTGAATATACACGTTTTGTAGAAATACTACAATAGTGACAAACATCCACACGACTCAACCGGAGGTGGGAAACGGTCATCGCAGCGTATGAACGCCTGCAAAACCAGGGGTGTCACGTGCGCATTGCTGACCCTTAAGAAATCTTATTACATCTATTTTGAAGAACCCCATGGTACGGCCTCTAGGGAAAACCTTGGCACGAAATTCATTCCACAACCTAAGTGTTCGCGGGAGGAAATGCCTCTGAAACCGCACTGTGCGTGACCATTCACGATTAATGGTGTGAGAATGAATTCTCTAACTATGACGAGTGATGTGATGCCAACGAGTACATGTGAACTCATTAAACTTCAAATTATTTGAGTATCCAGTTAACAATGTCAAAACAGATGATATTTAATTTTGTGCAAAAGCCTGTTTCTGAATACGGCCCGGGGCTGTTATAGTTTCGGTACATTTAAGTTGTTAGTTTCGGGTTATAATTTAAAAACAACAATATTACTTTGTTATGGACAGTATAGTAGTATTATCTTTTCTTAATTTTTATATCGTGTATTAATAATTATTACATTTATTTTAACAGTCATCATTTCAGCTGTTAATTATCCCTTACTGAACGCCTTCCCCATAAAGGGGAGTTTTTCCAGAAGTTGTCACGCTTGATAAGTGCGATCGCAGTTAAGCTTTTAAAGATGTTTTAAGAGAGACACTGCTGCCCATCCCTATACTATTCAGTTCCCTTAGTCGCTTCTTATGACATTCACGGGAAAGGAAGAGGTGGTATTCTATGCCAGGACCACACGACCAACCAGACGGTGTCATATCATCATCATATCAGCATTTAAATGTCCACTGCTGAACATAAGCATCCCCTTTTGGGGTGGAGGGGGGTTGCCAATAGTTACCACGCTTGGTAGGCGGATTAGCAACCACAGTCAGGCTTTAGAGATGTTTTAAGAGGAACGCTGCTGCCCATCTCTCGCCCTCCCTTAATCGGCTTTTACGACACCCACGAAACAAAGAAGGGGTGGTCTATTCTATGCTAGGACCACACGGCTAACCATACGGTGTATTAATAAACAATTATTAATTTATTTTAATAGTCGTTTTAGCTTAAATATTTTGAACCAGATTCCAAGAAGGCAATATATAAATTGCTTAAAATTGGCCAATAAATTAGGTCTAAATGCGAGTAGGTCGTAGAATACGTGACTAACTGAAGAAGGGTCAAATTAAATATATTCAGAACGTAATATAATTTTTGTACCTAATTTGATAAATGAGAAAAAATCGAAATATATTTAATTTCACAATTTTTTGGTATTCTTTTATTTGCGCAATTTAGAATTTCAAATAAGCTGAAGGTACATCTAATTAAAAACAGTCACCGTTGCCTAAAAAAATTGACAGCACCATGAACATTTTTCAACAGAAGATAGGCGTGACCTATATGTATTTATGTCTAATAAATAAAAAATAAAATTAAAAAATGACATTTTACAATTCTAAGTAAAATTACATTAAGATGCCCTAAGCGTTCAGTAACTTATTTAGTAATCGATTAATAAACTAATTATTTGAATAACGAATCATTCGGATTCGCGCACCGTTACTAAGAATGCAAAGGAACATCAATAACAGACACGTTGTTTACTTCCATGTTACATCATCATAAATTCCAGATCATTTTCAATCACGTGGTACCAGATAAAAATACGATATTGTTTTTAGGAGAGGAGAAATAGGTATACTAATGGTAAACAAAATAATTGTAATCAAACAACCAGAGAACTCGTGGAAGTCCATTCCACAAGATAACACATAGTTCAGTAGATTTATTTGAAAAGTTGTCTTTTATAAGCATTATAAATATTCATATATTTTAATATATACAAGTCATTCACACCACTGTTTCTCGTTAACCTTTGGCTAAAAGAGATCAATTTCAAAGGTAGCAACTTTTGCTTTAGTTGTTTTTCTTCTGTTCTCGATTGCACCAAAGGCGTTGGCTTTCGACGTCTAACATTTAATATACAAACATTTTCTATCCTCAAATTTTAACCCTAACGTCATAAATATATAGACGAAATGCGTAAATAACAAAACAAAAAAACCGGTCTAGTGCGAGTTGAGTTCAATTAACACACCATGATTTTCTCAAGTTCCTCGTTCCTCGCTGAGGAGTACATAAAACATTTAATATACAAACATTTTCTATCCTCAAATTTTAACCCTAACCTCATAAATATATAGACGAAATGTGTAAATAACAAAAAAAAAACCGGTCTAGTGCGAGTTGAGTTCAATTAACACACTATGATTTTCTCGGGTTCCTTGTTCCTCGCCGAAATACATAAAATATGAAATAAAATGACCTTTATTGTATTATTATAGCTGATACTACAAAAACCATTTTAATATTAATCACAAATGAAGCTCTTTCATATTTTATCCCACTTGGAATATCAGGTCCATTCTAAAATTATGAAAATTAAAAAAAAAAATTCAATTATTTCCATTAAAATATATATGTATTCCAACTATGTATAATAGTTCCAAATTTCATATTAGGTAATAACATTAGTAGTTGCTGATGTAGTACTGTGATAGAAGGACGGACGAACAAAATGCACCATAAGACTCTATTAAACTTCTTTAGTAAGTTATCCTAAAAGTGCAGTATATTAGCGCTTTAGCCACATCACTCGAAATATTAATGATAATTGATTTAAGGCAATGATCGAAATTTAATAGTTCGATACTTACAAATGACTTGCAAGTTCACAGATAACGACTTCCCATCTCCTTCTACGTTGGATGCAGTACACGAATACTTCCCAGCTTGCTCTCTGGACACGCCTTGTAAAGCTAAATGTGCTGAGCCAGCGATCACACCGGCCCTTTGATTATGTGTCATCAGCTGGCCCTAGAACCAAAATTTTATTTTATAGCACTATAATCGAATGTAAATTTGCTTTTACGCAATTTATATTAATAAAAAAAAAACTAATCATAGTACTGTTACATATATCTTATAAAAACCTATAATTTCATATAACCGGCAATTTTATAATCTTTCAATCCAATATTATTAGTTTAATTAAAGATTAAGATAATCGAAAATATAAAGAAAAGCTATTATATATAATAAGCTAAGCATTTTATATATATATGTATATGTATATATATATATATATATATATATATATATATATATATATATATATATATATATAGGAGGAAAGATATTATGTAATTATAGATAAAAATTGTAAACTACTATAAACTAAAAATTACATACTTAAAAATATAATAATATTTTAAGTTGTAGCCATTTTGTGTTAATGTGGTATACACACAAAAAAAATATAAACGAAAACGAATAAACGAACAAATAAAATCGACGATACATATATATATATATAATATAAAAATTCAGTTATGTACTTTATGAAATATTTATTAATGTGATTGCTGTGCCCTTCCAGGGTTCATGTTGATTCTTTACTTTTAATAACTTAAGACCTATATTGTTACAACATAAAATAGCAATAAATGATTAAATTGAATTGTATATCTATCTATCTATTTAATTCAATTTAATTTTCCAAACATTCTAATCTACAAATGGTACCTTTACAGTCAAAACACACGATTTTATAATAACATCAATTTGAATAGATAGTAAAACTAAATTACTTACATTATGCTCCCAAACTACTTTATAAGCCGGAGGGTTGGCTCTAACTACGCATTCGAAGTACACGTCATCCCCTTCTTCGATATCATTAGGGTTTAGTTTGGAGCCCAGCTGGAGAACTACTATTGGCACATCTGTTACAAAGAAACACAAATATTAGTCTTGTTCCGTTCGCAAGTATTCTCTGCCTATTGTCTTTCGTTTATATCGAAACAGCTTTTATTATAGCGTATTATTTGCAATACTCCGATTTCTGGATAGATTCAAATTAGTTTTGGATTAAACAGTTGATATTGGGATAAAATAAAAGTTTACGACCTCTGTTATTTAGGGCTTCGATACTCAGACGTACGTTGTTTAGAAAATAAATATTTAATGAGAAAGTTTTGTACTAATGTGAACGATTAGGCAGTTTTATAACCTTTTTTTTATATACTACTATGGTAGCAAACAAACATACTGCCTATTTGTTAATAAACGGGGTTAAAACTGTAAAACCATGGATATCAAATTAGTGCACATTTAATCTTATTTCGGTATCTAGAAAGGGTATATTTAATAGTATTAGTTTTCCTGATACTGAAATCTCCGCTAACAAAATAGTAGGCAAAAAGCTATTTTAATCTACGTATAATTTGTGTGGTGAGGGGGGTGGATTATTAGTAATGAGGGCTAACTGTTCCCTTGTTAGCATACCCTATCAGGTCACCTGCGGCTAGTTCCCCCTGGGAACTACCGTGCTTAATGTTGAATTCGTCACGATGGGCCGACTGATCGCTTTCATTCTCACCTATTGTCCCTCACTGGCATCCCGTCAGTGTATATCGACAGCGTAGGCGGAGTTACTATTTACTCGTAATTTTCACCCATTAAAAAAACTCCCCATATAATTTAATCATCATCACCACATAGTATAAAACAAAGTCGCTATTGCTGTGTGTCCGTCCGTTTTTTTTTTTTATAGATAAAGTGATTCAAGTGGAAGGTTTATATTTGTAATACATACATAATATTGTAGAGAAACACTGATAAATTTAGAGGTTTCTAATGTGACGTGATGTAATGTGTATCCGCGCGAGGCCCGGGGCGGGTCGCTAGTAAATTACATTTTACTCGTGTTTTTAATTTTTGGCACAAAATGAGTCAGGGCAATTTATCTATATTCTTGTATATTAATCGTATCAATGTAATACACAACTTACAGTGCAAATTAAGAGTCATAGTTGTCTCTAATGTAGAATGCTCCAGCTTCACATGAGTTGCTCGACACGTAATCACCCGGCCGTCGTGTTCCATTTTTGGTGTCCATCGCAAAAATGACACCGTTTCATTCTTATCTTCTGAGTTCTAAAATATGAAATCATGCATTAAAATAGTCGAAAACAGGCATAATTCTGAATACCTAACTAATATTGGGGAACTGACATACGAATAGTCTACGAGCGAGACAGAACCAGTCTTTTATAAGTAAATAAATAAATTTTCTAAGAAACAAGAATCTGTTATGATGAAAGTTTCGAATACTTTTGTGAGAACGTTCATTTTATAGTCCAAGTTCATGTTTGTTATTACCAATGACAATTTCAAAAACTTTGTTTACAGTGAACCCACGATTATTCTAATGGATATAACTTAAACTGAAGCCCATTATTGTCTACAATTATTTTGCAAGAATTTATAATCAGGTTTTCTTAATTAAAAATATTAAATTAAATTACTTATATAATACAACCCATCTGGGAGGAAAGGTATTGTTAGTAATAGGGTCTTTTATAATACAACCTATCTTTGATATAATGGGCTAACTGGCCTACTTCATCACCTATCATCCTTCACTGGTGCCCCGCCGGTGTATACCGATAGCGCGGGTGGGATTACCATTCCATTATCACCCATTAAAAAAAATACAACCCATCTTTGATATAAGAGGCATAAGCCCCGCAGTTCTCGAGAGCTGTAATGCATGAAAAGTTCTGTATTCGGCACGGCATATATTCTATGATATGTCATATAGTATTACATATTTACGTTCACATCATCAAACATCTTAAATGTATCATTTATTGTTTTCCAGCTTTCCTTAAAGTTACTTTATCCTCATATCAGCCTTTAACTGTCCACTGTTGAACATAAGCTTCTCCCTAAGGGTGTTTTGCCAGTGGTTGCCATGCTTGGCAGTCCGATTGGTAGCCGCAGTCAGGCCTTAAAGGTATTTTAAGAAAAACGCTGCTGCTCATCCCTGTCGCCGTCCTTTAATGGCCTCTCACGACACCAATGTGAAAAGAAGGAGTGGCGTATTCTATGCCGAGCAAAATATTGATCTACTAATTTGAAACATTAATCAGATAAAAATTCATGGTAAAACATTAATGTCTGTCCATCTGTATATTATGAGAGAATGTAATTGGTATAAGATTAAATTATAGCATTAGTACTCTTTGGTATATGGTTTGTTTTTCTTTGTCTTGAATATGAGTTCTCTTAATAAATATGAAATATGAATGATGTAAGCAATACCACTTGTACTTTAATAACACTGAACTTTGAAGAACTCAAAACTGTACTCTCTAAGAAAAAACTTAACATTTTTACACAATTTAAAATGACATAGAAGCTGATCATCTGATATTTAGAAAAAAATCTAGCCTATAGATATAAAAAGCAGAGTTGACATCAGATTACATTGCAAGGTCACTAGCACTTCTCATGGGATGCTATAACTGGGAACTAAAAACTATAGTACTCTATAATTTGATTGTGTTATCCCACCCTTCAAATTGAAATACAGCAATGAAATTACAGTTGATTAGTAACAGAAACAAAAATGGGATTGAGATATTCATGTAAAAAACTTTTGTATGGTCTCACTCTGGTAATGAATATGAACATTCTCATTTTTTTTGTTCAGTTATCAATTCTATTGTTATTAAATCACATATCTTTATCACTTTATCATCATGAATATCATCATTATATCAGCCGTTATCTGTCCACTGCCGACTATAGGACTCTCCAAAGACTGTCACAAAGAACGGTCCAGTCTGCTGAATATAGTTCTTTTTTTATACCACTTAGAATGGCAAACAAGCTCCCCAAAAAGTGGTAACCTGTCATAAAAAAACGGTCCTGTTAGCCACCCTTCAATTCCTGCATTTAATGTCATGACTCCACAATCTAGTGAAACACGGAGATTGTTCTACACTGAGTTTGTCCATTCCGGGTCACTACTCAAGAACCTTTGTCTTTATTATAGATCTAATTAATGCTTACCTTTTGAACACCAGTAGCCACCATTTGTTTATCATCTAGAAACCAGGTGATTACTGCCGGCGGCCGCGCCCCTACTGCCCTGCAAGCGAGTTCGGCTTCTACACCTACAGATATAGGTTGTTCTCTTGCTAATATTTCCACCAGCAGTGGTCGTACTGCAAAAAAATAGTGAATTATTTTTACGTTTGATAACATTTTGATTGCGTAAACTTATATATATTTGGGAATCCTAAATTATTAAATAAGATAATAAAAATACCGATGAGTCGTGAGTTCCCAGTAACCAGGAAAGGAATGTCGTCAGCCGGTAAATTATCAACCACGTTTTTTAATTGTCATTATGCCTGCTGTATGGTATCATCTACCTACTCGTACCTATTTAAAAATTTCATATTTTTACAATAAATTTATTCTATCGCTTTATATTAATCAAGAAGTTTAAGATTAGAGTTCGATTCTTGGTTACGCAATAGCAGATTATTTATTTCTAGTATCCGTAAAGTGAAATAACATGAATTATTGTTTTAACGAATAAAGAATGATACAAATTGTACAGTATCTGGTAAAAGAACAACACATACTGTTACAAGAATAACACTTTACAGAAGTAAAAATGATAATGTATGAGAAGCGAAGTGGAGAACTCATATCAAGATTAAGCGATAATTACTAATTTAGGCATACCATTAGCTCGTTAAATAATTAATTGTGAATGTTTTAAAATATTATACAAATAGGATCGATAAAGTATATGCATAAACAAATTATGAAATAGAATATTTGTCTAAAATGATTATCTGCTCAAAATTTCACAAAGCGCCAACTGTTGATAGTTGGCGCTTTATGAAATCATCGACTTGTTTGCATTCCATCAAAAAAGAAGCGATAATTGTATTAGATATTATTCTTCACATTATATAATAATTTGCACTAAAAAATATTACATAAATAACATCTCTTTAAGAGCAACTAAATTAAACTTTAAAAATAGTTATGAAACTATAATGAAACTTCTAGTGAAACAGTCTAAGAGAATTTCCAACCATCTTGTTAGTTTTAATGGAACAATATTGTACTGAAATAACGAAGTATTCCATATTAAATGTGTATTAAATAAATAATGACCATTCCATTTATTCAGAAATAGAATATAAATTTCTCCGAATATATCCCCGTCATTTCACTTTATAAATCAATATCCGAATGTCATTTAAATACTGGGCCGATATCATATCAACTTGAACATAAAAAAGACAATAGCGAAAATCCCTAATGCTTTATCCATTAGCCGCATTAATAGTTGAAAAGTGTAATAACAAAATACTAAAAGCTGCAAAGACAGGAACGCGAGTCTAGCGTGCATTACAAAATGACACCACGAATTATAATAATGGAGAATAATTTCCTGTTACTGGGATACGGCGTCACGCAGGACAATGTGGGCAAATAAAAACTAATGGTCGCACGGGGGCGCGAGGTGACACAAAAGAATTCCCCCGTAAAGCGTCATATTCCGAGATAATCCGTAGTCAGCTTGATCTAGGTTAATCGCGCGGATTTGCGCGGATTCCGCTTTGCAATAAGCCAGAATGAAGATAATGCGGATGTTATGAAAGTTTCACTATTTGTCAAATATTGAGCACTTGAAGATGTGAGCTATGCAAAATGGAAAGCAGAAAGAACTTGAAACATTTCTATTAGAACGTTATTAATAAAATTTTGATTAACAGTAATTATTACCTAAAAATCCCATAAAAAGAAACTGACAAGAGTTAATAAATATTGCTAATATCTGCAATGCTGTCTAAATTACATTAGTGGTGACCATTATGAAATATCAGCCTACGTATAATTAAATCGAGAAAACTCAACTAGTTTCATAATCAATTCGTGATCCTTAATCATGAGCGGCTGTGACGCGAGCACTTTCTTGATCTAATTACAAATAAATTAAACCAGCAGTTATTAGATTAAAATATAATGTGTGCTTACAAAACTTTCAATAATAAAACATCAGTCTATCAAACTATTTTGAAAATTAAAAGTTATAATGCTCAATTTTAACAAAAGCATCGAAAGTATTATATTAAAGGCCAACAAGAAGTAAATGTGAAGTAATTTTGACCTAAGTTTATTTATTATAAATTTAGTTCATACTAGTAATAATGTAATAAGTACATAAATAGCACTGAACCGAATAGTTTAATATAATACTAAATTGAAATAGTTTTAGAGTTAGAGAAAGGTACATCAGAATCGTCTCTATTGTCAGTTTATTTTTCACATCAGGGTTAATATATATGAGATGGTAAATTAGGTCAGTCAGACAACTTTATGACCCATACAGATAACAGTATACAAGTTTTCTCTTATAAACGTGGGGTTAAAATTCAACGTTAACAAATATTTTATTATAAGAACTAACAATTTTGTGTGCTAGAATCTAAATCGGAGAATAATTTTCATATAATATAATGTAATCCTGGCATATAATAGGTTACCCCTTCCTTTTCCGTAGGTGTCGTAAGAGGTAACTAAGAGAATTTAACGATCAAGGGATGGGCAGCAAAAACGTCACTAACGCCTAACCGTGGTTGCCAAATTGACTACCAATCGTGACAGCTAATGGAGAAAAGAGGGAGACCTATGTCCAGTAGTGAACAGTTAATGGCTGATATGATGATATTATATTAAAAATATCGCGAAGATAAAACATTTCGATTTGAAGAACCCTCAAATAATCCAAAGAAAAAAATTGTTACTACTCTTATGTATATTGCTTTAATAGAAATAAATTATATATATCTATATATAAAAGTCAATTGCTTGGGTACTTCTTCAACCGTAAAGCAGTTGTGTTTGCATGGCTGTGTTTTAGCTTGAAGGGTGGGATATGGCGTGAATTTACTGTGTACAGAGGAATAACACCTGAGTCCTCAGGAATGGCAACGCATGGGGGTATCATGGACGAAACAGTATATCTGTTATGTCTATAGGCGATGGTTACCACTTTTCATCAGGTGGGCCGTCAGCTTGTTTGCCATTCTAAGTTATATATATATATATATATATATATATATATATATATATATATATATATATATATATATATATATATATATATATATATCATCCCTCTTAAAGTCAATTGTAAGCACAACAACCGACCTTACACCTTAATTGTAAGATTCTATGCCCGCATTCGCCTTACAGTTTCGAACAAGTACGTGTGTGATGTAGCGATCTCTAGTCGTTAATAATGCACTAATATAGTTAGTAAGACAAATAGCACAGAATTAGTCAGTGGACACACAAGGTCGTTAAAGTATTGAATACACGACTGTATTTCTAAATTGAAAATATACTAACCGGGTAGTACTTGAAGATTAACGATTCTGATAATTATAAAAATCACGCCATTTGGTAGTCAGTGACTAATTTGACGTTTAATTCCAAACCTACTCATGGCAACCGAACACACTGATCGGTAGGTATTTTTTCTATAGGTATTATGAATATATATATTATAGCTGCTGTTAATTGTCCACTGTTGAAGGCCTTTCTTTTCTAAAGAGAATTTTGCCAACGATTGCCATGCTTGATTGACGGGTTGGCAACCGCAGTTAGGCTTTGGTGTTGTTTAAAGAGTTTACCAGAGGGAGACTTTGTACAAAAGTCGAATGCTTGGGTATATCTGTCCCATTCGTGTTTCAACCGTGAAGCAGCTGTGTTTGCATGGCTGTGTTTTTTGAAGGGTATATGGGGAATTTACTGGATACAGAGGAATAACACCTGAGTCCTCAGGAATGGCAACGCATGCTTGGTTGACAGTTCTGTTATGTCCATGGTACTGCTCATGTCTATAGGCGACGGTTACCACTTTCCATCAAGAGAGACTGTCAGCTTGTTTGTCATTCTAAGTTGTATAAAAAAAAATCCTTCGACCATTAGGTTCTCTTAGTCGTTTCTTACGATACCTACGAGAAAGGAAGGGATAGTCCATTCTATGCCAGGATTACACGGCAATTATGAAAAGCTATATCAATAAAAATATTTTATTATATAATAGAAAGAGTTAATATAACCGTCATTTACACTTGTATTTCTCCCCCTCTGTATATATAACATATACCTATATATATATGTACCTATATATTATAATGTATTATAATGTATATTATAATGTATTTTGTTAATAATATTATCTAATAATAAATAAATACATAATAAATATGAATAATTTCGAGATAGCATTTTACAATTACAAAATGAATTGCATATGAAACTGCATGAAATTCCGAAAGCTTTTAAAGTTAATAGAGCATATAATGCAGTCTTTTCACAATTGTATTTTATTCATAATTATGAACGGACCGCTTTTACCAAGGTGAGTGCATTATTGATTTCATGGCGCCCTGGGGGAACTGTACTACAATTAGTGAACACTACCTTTGTTCCACGGCTTTGCTCACATAAATTGGCATAAGATAATATATGTGTTAATTTAGAATATTAATAGACTTTTAGTTATACATGACTAGTTTTTACCCACGAATTCGTCCGCGTAAATGGCATGTATTCACGGACTAGAATACAAGTGGTTTATGCCCTTCTCTGTCCCATCACCATCATTATCGTAATATCAGCCTTTAACTGTTCAACATTGCTGAATATAAACCTCCCTCTTGGGGTGATTTGCTGGTAGCTGCCACGCTTGGCAACCTCAGTTAGTCTGTATACCAAATGTTAATAACAGCATGGCATGTATCATTACACACATATATATAATAAATACGCGTGTCGTGGCGGCCTTGAATTGAGGCAGCATTTTATAATGTAACCCTATTATCATGTATTTTAAGTAGATATGGTATAAGCATATGCTTTGTTGGTTGTCCTTAAATACATAAATAAATAAATGTTTTAATGATCAGTTAAGCCGTGGAGGCGCTAAGAGTTAACAAACTCGCTTTCAAATTTATAATACTAGTTGTATCCCGTGACTCCTCGCGGTTAACCGCGTAAATCAGTATATAAAATATTCTATGTGCTAAGTTAGGATATAACCTGCCCGTGTACCAAATTTCATTCAAATCCGTTCAGTAGTTTTTGCGTGAAAGAGTAATAAACATTCATCCAAACTTTCGCATTTATAATATCAATAGGATTGACTAGCAAAGACTTTTATAAACTTTAAAATTTTTAGGGTTGTTAGAATGGATAATAAATAAAAGGTTTTGTCTAGGACATTTTTTGCGTAGGAGTTTAGGAGAGAGCTACTTACATCTAATGATGTTTAAAAAACACAAAGGCTATTTTTTTATAATAATTCCGAATGTTAATTTTATTCATGTTAGTTTTAGGTTGATGCCATTAGAACTTTTTCGTTCTACTTCACTCTCTATGAGTAAATTATTCGATTTAAAATTAGATTAAATAATAATAATTAATTAGTAATGAACAATTACTTTTTTAATAAAATGATTAAATGATAATTATAAATAATAGAAAGTAATATATTTAAACATAATTTATATACACATATTATAAAATAACGATAAGACAAAATACTACCAAATAATGATATATAATAATGATAACATTATTTTTAGAACATGTGATTGTTTTCCTATAACCTAATTAATAATAAACAAACTTATTTAAAAAAAATTAAACCAACTTCAAAAAATAGGTGAAACAAAAAACGGTATTTATAATCGGATTTATAATTTATAGTAACAAACTATATAATATCGTACGATATTATCATTACGATATTAGGAGAACAAAATGTTTAAAAGACATTCATTTTTCGATGTATTTTTATGAATGTGCACGGAAATTATTATACTTTTCAAAACAAATTCAAGTATAAAAAATTTTGCAGGAAAAGGTAAGCAGCACGATATAATAGGCAATATTAATAAAAAAATTACAAATATTAAATAAATATACATAATTATATACATTTATAAATGTAACACAAACAACTCAGGTACAAACTAAGGAAAAGAAAGTGATTATAGGCACTAGAAGTAGGATTTAGTGAATTTTTAAAGCTACTCAGTGATTGAACGTACCGAACAAAGGCAGGGAACGAGATCTATAAAAGAATTACTAGAACGAAAAAGGACTGAAATAAAAAGAGGACTAATAAATAGGAAGCTTAAGGATAGATTTACATTGCGCTGGATTATAATGTCCCTTTGAAATTACTTTTAAATGTGTTTAAAAAATATTAAAATCTTTTTTATAGTGCTTTTTATATACATGAGTTTACCGAATTTAAAAAAGTCGCAGATTGTATTTAATTTTTTTTATAATTTAAGTTTGTGTTCCATAAAAAAAACCGTCTTCGTTGGAAGCCAAATTAATTATTTTGTTTAAAAAATCCACTTTTCAACCAATTTCAAAAAGGGGATTTTCAATTCGGTTATGTTTTTTATGTGTGTTACCTTATAACTTCATTTGTATAAAACTGATTTGGATTTTTTTTTATCAGGAAGGATATACTGACAGATTGGTCCAATAATAATTTTATAAAAGTTGAATTAGTAATCTAGTTTTTGCCACAATTGAAGTCACTTTTTTTGTAAAATACAATCTTAATTATTTTGATTTAATATCTAAACTACTAAATCAATTGTGATAAAATTTCTAAGGGACCAATCTGAAAGTATATCCTTTCAGATAAAAAAAAAAATTTAAGTCAGTTTATATCAGACAGAGTCATAAAGTAACAAACATAAACAATATCACCGGATCGAGAACCTCTTTCTTTTAGTAGTCGGTTAAAAATAAACAATACTGTCGGTTAGTTGTACTCATTTACTCTCCTATTATATCGTAACGATGAAATGGTACCGTGCCGTGTCGTAATATTATAAATTATAAAGGCGCCTATTAACCATAGTGTCACATAACAACCCTCGTTATACGGGTTATACGTGATTGTGCCTCTAACCTTCCACCTTAGACCTCTTAATATAGGCTGACGAAACACTACATGAATTATTGTACGTACTGTAAGGCAGCATTCTCGCAGCTAACTATATATCCTGTTAGTGCTTAATAACAAATGTCATTTATACGTGAGTTGGTTGTACTCGAGAAATTGTATTGTATTACTCGTTGGATTTAAATGTATTAATATTCTGATTCAAATTCATATAATATACTAATGAATTCATAAATCTTGCTCATATAAACTCGACTACGTTTTATTAAAGGAACTACTGTAATTAGGTATATTTAATAAAAACTGATAGTAATATGAAACTTACAAATATACTGCGTGAATATTTTTTTATTATTTTTGAGGGAATCTTACAGCTATAAGAACTTAATAATTAAATTTATACTTGTATTACAACAATAAGCTAATTAAAACATAATTGTTAGTAGGGAGTAGAAGTATGTCGCTCACAGTAGGGAGAAACAAACAAGCTGACATACCACCTAACGAAAATACTTAATTTCATCCTGTATAAAGTTTAAAGTATACATATCTAAGATCTTAACTATAATCATCATGTCAGCCGTTAACTGTCCACTGCTGAACACAAGCCTCCCCCATAAGAGGTGTTTTGCAAGTAGTTACATAGCAGGAGAGTTGATAACGGCTTTGGTGTTGTTTAAAGAAAGACGCTGCTGCCTATCTCTCGACCATTAGGTTCCCTTATTCGCCTCTTACGATGACCACGAGAAAGGAAAGAGTGCCCCATTCGATGCCGGGATCACATATCTATGTATATGATTTAACATGGTATGAAATAAAAACATACAAAGTAAGTACTTACAATATAACTGTATCTGTACATTGACCCGTAGTGGAGGGACCTGCATTGTATTATCTGCAGTACATGTATATACAGCTTCGTAATATTCTCTCGTGAGCTTTGGTATTCTCAACTCTAGGAGGCTGAGTCTTGAGCCGTCATCGACAGGTTCCAAGGTGGCAATGACTTTGTCATCTCGCCACCAACGTAGTCGTGGCATTGGTTTACCTGAGAAAAAAAAATATAAATAATATTTACTAGATACAACTAACTATAGATATCCTCAGGATTTACTTAAGAGGAAAATTCTTTCACCTATAGAAAGCTATATTATCAGCAAGTAAAGGCTACATATTATTTTCGAAAATAATTTTTTTCCGCATGATACAAGGCTGGATCGCTACATAGAAATAATTCTCTCATTTTCTTCGATCCAAACAACTAGTCAAGTGTATAGTATAAAAATCTGTGCAGAATTCGCGAAATTGTAAATCAATAATTTCCTAAGTACAAACACATAAAAAGTATAATCTATGGTTCTCAAGATCCTCTTTGTCAGTTAAAAATAATATTTTAAACGCTGCAAGAATCTTATAATACTTATATTATTATTATCCATATAATATTTTCCTATTTTACCTCCACTTACAACACAGGTAAGTTTCAAATTCGTGTCTTCTATGTAGGGTCCGGCCACACCAACCACTTCCTTATCTAACTCGTCGAATATTTTGGGTTTTTCTGGTAATTCTGTGAAAGAAAATATATATTTTAATTTGTATGTAAATCAAAGGTATTACTACATGTATACTAAACTTAGAAAGCGAGGCAGGCTGATATTGTACCTGATAGAAAGTGAATATGAATATTCCAGAATACACTAACTTAGTTTAGACCGATTGACTCATCATCGCTGAGTTAAAACTACTAGAAATATGCATATTAAATTAATTGATTATTTGCATATAGAAGACAAGAGATAAGAAGGGATTTTTAATATTCACTTAATTTTGAAAAGGAGGTTGAAAGTTTTTGCAAATCCGTAAACTTTGAACTTGGAAACTTGAAACTTTGTATTCAAGCTTATAAATAATTATGCTTATGACTGTAATCCTTGATGGAGTAAACAGAAGCATTATAACTGTTGATTACCAATACCTTCAAATCTATAATACGTAAAAAATAGAAATTAATTAATTTAAAAAAATATTATCAAAGTAACAATACTATTTATTTATTTATATGCTTTTGTATATTCAATTGTAATATATTTTATATTGAAAATATAATAAAAATATATGATACGAGATTTTTTTTATTATCAAATTAATTTTAATAATTTTATACAAACATGATAATGTAACACAATTACATCGAAAGGCATGATTCAGAAGCTTTATCGCACTGTTCTCTTTCTGATAAATATAATTTTTAATTTTGTAATTTTCACTAAAATTAAATATAAACGAAAAGTTGTCATGTCATATAAAACAAACGTAAAATATTAAAATAAACAGTTAAATTGTTCGAATTTCCAGCGACTGTTTGTGACATTTGTTAAGAACTCGGAATATTAAATTCTATAATGTAATTAATGATGTCAAACAAGTTAAATAAGTAATTACTTCTGTTTTATATTTGCAAACTCATACTATGAAATGTACATTTTTTTTATATATATAAAATGATAATCTTAGCTAATTTTACTTTTTTGTCATTCATTTCTGCAATCCTTTACCATAACGACTAGGCAGGATATATTATTGTGCTTGGTTGTTTCTTAGTTGCCTGTTAGGATATCTTAGAGATGCATAAAAGAGTGGTAATACTTTTTACATTAAGACACGATCACAAATAATACTTGAATTGCAGAATATTGATGCAATATTTTTTATGGAGTAATAATAATTTCGTAAAACGTTTTTTCTAATTTATTTATTCAAAACAATACTTAATGAATATTGTTAATATAAATATTAAATGTTCCACCCCACAAAAAAATTAAAAATAAAAACAACTGTCTTTATATGTGGCCAAATCAGTTATTTTTATCTAAAACCAAAATTACTGCACCGATTTTGACTATGAGATCAATGAAATTTTTTTTTCTAAATTAGTTTATAACTGACAGAGTTATAAGGTAACAAATATAAACAAAATAAAACCAAATTGTAAACTTCTTCTTTTTTTTTTATTTATAAAGCCTTCTTTTCTTTTAAAATTTCTTATTTTAAAGAAGATTGAAAATTACAATAAAATAGATTTAATACTATAGGTACATACCCAACATTGTATGCAGCTATAGAATACATTACGCGTATTGATTGTCATTCGTCATTCGTCTGTTTCTCTGTGATGATATTCAGCACGAAGGCAACAAAGTCATTTCAATATCGTAACCAATGTTGTCAGCAAATCATATTGAAATATCGATTTGGAAATGTAAATTGAAGTCTTCATACATATCTTTGTTTTAGATGCACATAATGTGTTACGTGTATGTGTACTAACGATAACTTTTTAAAATTATACTTTAATTGAAGTGTATTGACTTAAATTCAAATTAGGATAACAAAATTATTGACTTAATGTTTAAACTAGGTCAATATATATATATATATATATATATATATATATATATATATATATATATATATATATATATATATATATATATATATATACATATATAACTTTTTATGATGATATTATTTAATTAATGATATAAAAAAGCACAGCAATCATGATATATCCAAATGTAGTATTTATGATACAGAATCAAACGGCCCTGTATTATCGAACATGTATTTATTTCATGAGTATACATAGGTTTTGGAAATTAAAACTTGATCTAATACTTCTTTCCGTTAATCGTTTTCTAAAGCTTGTTAATCTATGTCACTATGTTAGAATTTCAGCCATAATCCTACGACATCATTTATTTTACTTTACCGTTGTATTACCGCGTTGAGTAAGACTCCAAAGCGCCTTTGGTGGAAGGAGTTGCATGTATACTAACTCAGCTATTGAATCAGGTAATTTATCTATATGTATATACTATATATGCTATGCTTTGTCAAATAAAACGGGAACGGACTGATAGAGTAACGTTATTTCTACTTGATTGCGATACCCTAAAAAACCTAAAGGAGTTCATTCACCTGCATTAACAAATTACACCTAGCCTATATATTTTTATAGATCAGACTTCCCAGTCGAAATGAAACTCGCTGTGATAAATTTAGAGCACGCACGGTGGGGACTGGCCATAATTGAGTTACCCTACATTAAACTTTTTTTCCCTGGACCGTATATTGCTAAAATAAAGGGCTCCAGGAGACGTCCCGGACACAAAATTACTTTGGGCCCAAAGTAATCTTATCGTCGACATTGTGATTTTTTAGATGACGCGTTTTATGTTTGACAGTTGATTGCATTGAATGAGAGTCGACGGTTATTGCTATTTATGATAATTATGATCAATGGAAATGGACAATATGAAATTGAAGTTATTATGTTTATTATTATGTCATCTATTAACTGAATACAGCTGAACATAAACCTTACCCGTAAGGGGAATTTAGTAGTTAAGTTAGCCAGTAGTTGTTAAGCTTTAGCAAGCAGTAGAAACAGCAGCAAGCACGCGGGTTGACAACAGCATTTTAAGAGGGACGCTGCTGCCCGTCCCTCGACTATTATGTTCCCTTACTTGCCTCTTACGACATCCATGGGAAAGGAAGACGTAGCCTATTTTATGGCGGAATCACACGGACTATTTGAAGTACGTTATACAAAATTTGTAAAACAAAATAATTCAGTTCCGAAATAAGTAACTTAAATGTGAACAAAATTAAATACTCGTATGTAAAAAAATTTTTCGTAAACGTCTCATGTATAATGATTGAAATTAGAACACGGAATCCTATAACAACATTTTACTTGGGAACAGGCAGTTTCTTCAATATAAAACATAATATATAATAGTAAATATTGATATGTGGTAATGGAAATTTTGTGCACTTACTGTTTGTTCTTTTCCACAATGGTTTCCACTTCATCCGGAAGAATTTCTCGTTACACACATATATGGATATTGTTAAAAGAAAAACAAAATAATAAATCATAAAATATTCGAACTCAGTTCAGAATCAGCGAATTAATCGCTTGACATATACCTATGTAGGTATACAAAAAAGAATATTATGCCACATAAAGACTATGTTTTTTATTGTTGCATATCTTTTTAGTTTATGAAACTCGTAATAAAAGCTGATCATTAATTCTCCAGTAATTCTGGTGATAATGATAATGATGTCAAAATGTTAAACTCGACTTTGGCTACCTGAAGGTAAAATTAAACATTTTTATTTAAAGTAGCTGAGTATTTAAAAAGCAATTCAAACACTATTTAGATAACTAAACAGCGATTGCATAATTCAACGTGGTAATAAAACAAAAGAATTATTGCTCCAATAAACCTAAAATTGGCTGAGTGCCAAAATGCACTATGTGGGTGGATAGTTGAAGTAAAATAGTTACTATATGGAATAACGTATTGGTGAGTATTAGGCAGTTATACTTTATTATCATTTTAATTGCATCATTGATCATCCATTCCAATTCACAAGCATTTTACTTCATTGAATTAATTACTAAAGTTTTTTAGGGTTGGGAACGCACAAGTAGCACCCTAGTGTAACAGTCGTAAATAGGTTACAGTGACCGTTTATTATCAGACGAGCTATATATACTTGTTTGATTCTATAACGAAATAAAATTGGATGTAAAAAAACACTGGCTTCAATTGTGACAAAACCAGTTATTTTGATTTAAAAACCAAACTACTAAAGCAACTTTTATAAAATTTCTATGGAATTAATCTAAAATTGTTTTTAAATAAAAATTGTCCAAATATATTTATAAATGGCGGAGTTCTTAGGTGACAAACGTAAAAAAATACAGCTGAATTGAGAATCAATTAGTTTTTTTAAGGTCGATTAAAAATAAATATTGAATGAGTATACTTTATTTGCATTATACAATATAGGAAATAAGCAAGACAATTAACAAACACAACGATACAATTGTATAAGTACAGTAAGGCGGTCTTATTGCTGAGAGCAATCTTTTCAAGACAAACTTAGGGTAATGGACTAATTGCAGTACAAGTAGGTATGATAGTATTGTATAATTAAAAATAAAAAAAAAATTAAAAATATTCTCACGATTATAAAATTACTGAGCTGAAACGCTATCAATAGCGTTATAATGAATATAACACAGATTCTGATATACTCGATGAAATGTGGCCATATAGAATGCCCACATTCCGCCGAGCATATAAGTATTCAACGAAGGAGGAAATTTACAAATTTTATGTATAAAAACCTTAATAATGTCGATTATATACAAAAATAATTATTAAGTCCTCTTTTACCATTTTGGCCTATAATGTTTAAACACAAATGGTGAAATGGGACCGAATCGATTGTTGCGTTCACCACAACAGTTACAATAACAGCAAATATGAAGGTAAATAAATTGGTATTTTGTATATTATCTTTCAATTTCGCGTTTCCAAACTATATTTCGATATAATAATATATTTTTAGTATAAATTTAACGATAAAAATTTTCAATTCAATCTCTTCAACACTATTGATGTCTATTTAAAAAATTAACAAGTTAAACATAATTAGTAACCCAGTTTTGATCAATTTAATACTTTTTTTTATCACAAAAAATATCGTGAACTGAAAATAAGGTCTACTTTCCATAAATCACTTTGAATAAATTGTTAAACACCAATCAAAATTAACAACAGTAATTTTAGGGGTTTGGGAACGACCAATTTGGAATGTGTCCTTGACTTATATATATTCTTTGATAATTTTAAGTATTTGATATTTCATACATTATATATAATCATACAGATAGTATATTAACGCAATTTGACAGCCTGATTTGAATAATTATCATTATAGTCATATATATAAAATTATCTTGTACATGATAATTTCAAAAGATAACTGTATATTTAAAAGTTTGACAGCTTCATTTCAGAAACATTTTGAATAAAAAATAATAAAAAAATTACTATTTAAAGGAGCTTGTAAACAAGTCTAATTGAATAGATTATTTATATATCTCTTGTCGGGCAACTATTTCATTCTCTTCCATCTAACTCTATTTCAGGACATATCTTTGACATATCTCTGTCTATATCAGAAACTCTTAAATAAAAAAATCTATTCTATTTTTATAGTAATTAATGTGTATTATTAATTCTAGCAATATACTTACCAGAGGGAGACTTTATACAAAACTCGATTGCTTGGGTACCTCTGTCCCATTCGTGTTTCAACCGTGAAGCAGTTGTATTTGAATGGCTGTGTTTCAGTTTGAAGGGTGGGATATGGCTATTTTTGGGCGGTATCATGGGCGAAACAGTATGGTACCACTATAGGCGACGGTTACCACTTTCCATCAGGTGGGCCATCAGCTTGTTTGCCATTCTAAGTTGTATAAAAAAAATACTCATATTTGGTTAAATGCATATTTTCTTTAGCGAATCTGAATATCTATAGTTCATCGTGCTGTATCCAACAAAATAGGTCAGCCATCGAAAAACTCGCATAGATATGAACATTCACTCCAAATGTTTTCCTAATAAATATTTCATGGGCCCTAAAACGTTATTCCATCATGATTCTGGCAAGATGTCGGCCAATAAACCGCCACTATTTGGCTTCGCTCCGACACAGGCAAACATAAATTTGTAAAGGACATGAAACAGGTGACTTGTACTCTGATAAAATATAGATGCGCCCAAACCGTGCAAGCCGCACTTTAATGTTCATCGAATTTTTTTTATTCTATTCCTGATACGTTCAGATGTGAATTATTTTATTACTTTTTGTTCACGTTTTTAACATTGTTGAAATTTGTTTCAAACTTTTTTATTGCTTACACGAGTAAAACTCCGTTGAATATTATTTTATAATGGCGGTAAATCACCGCTGAAATTTTCAATAACGTTTTACATAAATTGACATTATTTGTTCAGCGACGTATACCGAATCCGAATTTATCTTGTACTGATAATATTTCTTGATTTTCTTGTTATTGAGATGTGGTAAGATATTCTTATATATATAAATGGATTTTTTGTTCTATATCAGTTTGCAAAATATCGGCCTTCATTCGGTGGAAAGTGGCAGTTGCTTGTAATAAATATGAGTTATAAGTACAATTCAATAGATAGGTATTACCAACTACTTTGACCTTATTCCAAGACTCGAAACTACCTCCCCTTAATCACATAAACACTTACCCACGCACGCACGCATCCACGTATGCACGCACACACTATGTTAATTTAAAATAGAAAAAAATATTGTAAAGGAATGGTCGTCTGTTTATTTCTATAGCTCTTGGCACCATAACAGCTCATTAATGAATCAATTTGTTAAAAAATTTACATACACATAATATAATACCTCTGTTCTATTTATTACGGGGAAGTATCTAAAGTATAAATGATCTAATTCTTTTTAAGTTCTATTGCGTATTTTCATCAAATTATGTTTGAAGAATAAAGCAATATTTAGTTTAAAATTATTATGAACAACATTGGTGACATTACAATATTCTATCAGATATTCCAAGCCATTTCAGCTTTAATATAATAAATTAAGTATTACAAATTTTAATTTAATAGCTTGCAGTAGATATTGTAGATAGCATTCTTAGCATTAGCCGTAAATTTGGTCTTGCTATTATAATCTATTAGTAATACCTTTGGGATTGATAAATCAATTAAAATATCATTATAAACTTGACACTAAATTTGAATAGAGGTGCCCCGTACAATGTAATATTCCTGTATCCCTTAGGAGATGACCCTTCTTCAATGTAAATGCAAAATAATAGACAACGACAATGTAGGTATATATATAATTTTTATGTTGATTATAATTGTACATGATCGCTTTTATAATTTATGTATACGATATAGTACGATTGTACCGTCACGATATAATAGAAGAATAAATCGTATTTATTTGTATGACTGTCAAGATGCTTTTAAATTTCTGTTCACGTCCACGATATTATCATGCCGTGTACATCCACGATATAGGCAAGGAAAATTAAATGCGTTTCGATAGAAGTTTATTTCCTATTTATGACAGTAAAATCGTGCAATGTCGTGTCGTGTTGCAGTAAATAATAATAGCGCCTGTGTACGACGCACCTTTTTGGGTTTTTTATTTAATATTTTTCTTTTTTACATCTAGTAATTATCATAATTTATTCAATCACTTTTATATTTGTTTTGTATGTATATATATTTTGTAATTTAATAATTGACACACAATATACACATATACACAGAGATGATAATTCAACTGTTTTTTTTTATAAAACTGAGATGACAAACAAGCATACGGCCCACCTGATGGTAAGTAGTTACCGTAGCCTATGAACACCTGCAATACCAGATGTATTACGCGTGCGTTACCGACCCTGAAGAAACCTTTTTAACCCCCTTTTGAAGAACCCCATGCTGTGTATGTGTATTTTATATATAAGTAAATATATTTGTTATTTATGTATATTTATTTGTTTTGTATTGTATATGTAAATTTTAGTATGTACATATGTACATCAATTATTAACGGTGCCGCGTTCGAGTATTCTAACATTTCCCTATTGATTGATTGGGAGATAATACTTTTAGCTTTAAGTCCGCCTTGTATATGCATGTACTAATGAATAAATAAATAAACGACTATTACCTTCCTGAAGATACCGTATTTTTATACTAGTTTACGGTTCTTTCGCTTAAAGCGCCAATAATATAAGTATGCTAAATATATAATCCATATTGGCCGTGATATACAATTCTAAACCGATTTTAATAATTATTTTTGTATCCCCATAATTTACCAGAAGGACATTTTGTACAAATGTCGTTGCTGGAGTACCTCTGTCTGTCGTTATCCTACCGTAAAACAGTTGTTTGTATGGCTAGTGTCACAGTTTAGTTCCAAAGTGAGATATGATAATAGTATGAAAATCAATAGGTACTGAAGCATAATACCTTAGTTCTCGGGAATGACAATTAAAGAAGGGTACCATGGATGACACGATATAATTGTTTATGTCTATGGTACGATTACCAATTTCAGCTGTCAGTTTGTTTGAGATTCTAAATTGCATTTAAAAAAAAAAACATGGCAGCAGTTTATCTTTACAGAGCAAAATTATGTTTGATGACAAAACAAAATCAATTCATAGGTAAGCAATTGCACATTTTAAATCTATTACTATTTATTGTTTTACGAATGAACTGTGGAATTTTCACAAATAAACACTCGTCTCGGATGTTGCTCCTACCTGACTACCTGAAGAATTTCTGAATCGCATAAAATGTATCTGTAAACAACTAAGTCATTCAGCCATAGACTACGAGTTACATTATTTTTATAGCTTAAATACCTATCCGTCTTAGTATTTGATATAAGAAATTGTAGTTACTAGTCAATACACTTATTGAAAATCGTATTTTATAATAATTCTTTAAAATTCCATCTTCTTAGGGACTTGCTCGGTTTCAAGATTTTAAACCCTACCTATATTGAGACTATAAGTTTAGAAATTCTGTAAATTATATATTATAAAGTTGTTATTACTTTTATTACTATTATCTCCGTCTCACCTAATAATCTGCCTAAGAGTATTAGGCAGAACTATTCATTCGAATATATGAGTAAACATTCAAATGAAATCAAAGTCACAGCTAGTTTTACAACAAACACTAACTAAATATTCAAGGAATTGTACATTCCTTGGACGTAAGGAAATTTGCACACAGTTGTGAATTGGAAATACCTAGTCGACTATAAATATTAAATGCCTATAACGTTTCGAGACGGCTCTTCGGTGTAGCCGTTTTGCTATTAATATAAATAATAATCCTATTGCAGCTGCAACTTGTTCCTAAATAAGAAGTTACTTTGTTCATATACATATTTTACGATACTTTTCAAATGAATTCCTATTTCTTTATAAGAGTACTAGTTATAATACGAGTAAATTTATAAAATTTCCGTTATACATATATATAGAGTTCTAGTTGTTTATCGCAGCTTTGTCTGCATTTAAATCTTTATCTGCCATTCTCATGGAAACTAGGTATGAGAATTTTTTCAATACACTTTCTTTGAATTAGACCTTCAGAAGTATAACTATCGCATCTAATTTAATCCAGTAATTTCTACATTATGTTGCAACAAATATACAAACAAATTTTCTAAAAAATATTGTTCTGAGCTCTATTGGTCTTGCTAAAAGCCCTCATATTATTTTTCCTTAAATAACACCCATGTGTATCTGTTTACAATTTTATATTATTAATATAAGATAGTAAAATAATATCCTTACCTATAACGTCGAGAACAATCTTATGATTTCTCGTCGGGGAGACCTTGAAATCGACCCGACAGCGATACAGCGCCCGATCTGTCGCGAGGACGTCACGGATCCGTAACGACGACGATGATGTATGTGAATTCGAAGGGTTCCACCTCGCTCGCCCGGCGAGAATGTCGTCTGCCCAATGTGCTGATGGGCCTTTGACTCGTCCATCATAACTGCAACAAAATATTAAAGTTGTAAAGATTTTAAATTTAAGTGGAAGTAGATTGGGTGTGTATTTTTTATTTATCTTACTTGGATTTTTTTCATAATAGATACAACCAAATTTTCCCCTTGCCTAGTCTTTGCCTATTTTATTTGAGATTGACTCATCTTGTCAGTCTTTGCCAAGGCTGTCTATTTTAGGTCGTTGTATTATATTATACTCGTACAACTGAATTCAATTTAAGCAAAATTATTTATCATCTTCCTGCCTCATCCTATATAAATTAGGATCAGCATAATATATTTAGCTCTTCCATTTATTTTAATATAATAACTGCCAGTTTAACTTGCGTGTAATTTAGTCGAGAAAGCTCAACTAGTTTCGGGACCATTTGAGGCCTTTAATCTTGCATTTATGTCTATTTCCAGCCATTTCAGTCTTCACTACCATTCTGGCCATATTATCTTTCACACAATCCATACATCTCTTAGTAGGTCTGCTTCCAGTAATGAATGGATTATGACAAAGATAATAATATCCAAATAGGATGTGAATAGAAGAGAATAGAGAAACATTTATTCGGTATTTCAAATAGAAATACAAAATAGAAAAAAAATGTTAACCATTTGGTAGTACATTAATAGTAAATACCATGTTGCTATTATTAACTAACGAAATTCTACTAACATTTATTTCATAATACTGACAATTTGCTCGCAGAATGCAGTGCAAAGTAAGTTTTGGTAAGTTTAAGTCTAGAGAGCACTAAATAATATTATGTCTAGTGGCGTATAAACAAAAAATCGACACATCGCACATAATATACCTTACCAGCTTATGTTTGAAAAGGATTATAAATTGACTAAATTCGTTACACACTCGACACCAAGCGATTGATACACAGTCATGTCGTCGTGGTCTGAAGCGTGGGTGGATAGATAGATGGTTTAGACCATTTCACAAGAAAGATATAGCTAAAGCTCAGAACATATTTGCTAACAGCTTGGCCAGTTCACGTTATTTATATACATATTTGTGTTTTAATATTATGTTTTTTGATATATGTTTTTAAGACCATTTTTTGTTAGTTCAAATGAAAATGTTGAATCGTAAAAAAATGGCGCTGCCTTATAGTGAGATATAAAATTACTAATACAATAGTGGATAGCATATAGAGTAAATAATAACATAAGTATTCTTCATAGTTTTAAATTTATTTATTTATGGTCTACTCATTTAAAAAAAAAAGCTATTATACCGCATCTTCATATATATGTAAACGTATGGGTCATATGGAAAAGGTATCTCAAAATTCATATTCTGTTAATTATGTTAATATAATAAGTGCGAAAGTTTATATTGATAGATGGATAGATTAGATGTTTGTTTGTTTTTTACCAGAGGCAGACTTTGTACAAAAGTCGATTGCTTGGGTACCTCTGTCCCATTCGTGTTTCAACCGTAAAGCGGTTGTGTTTGCATGGCTGTGTTTCGGTTTGAAGGGTGAGATATGGCGTGAATTTATTGGGTACAGAGGAATAACATCTGAGTCCTCATGAATGACAACGCATGGGGGGTATCATGGGCGAAACAGTATACTCTGTTATGTCCATGGTATTGCTCATATCTATAGGCGACGGTTACCACTTTCTATCAGGTGGGTTGTCAGCTTGTTTGCCATTCTAAGTTGTATAAAAAAAAAAACTCTTTTATGTAAAAATTACTAAACCGATTTGAATGAAATTTAGTACACGGGAAGGTTATATCTTAACTTAGCACATAGGATATTTTATGTACTGATCGACGTAGTCAGAGCTGCGGGATACAGTTAGTTTTTAATAGGTGGAAAATAAATTTTATTATATCTTTTTTTACTTCTTTATACGTCGTGATAGTCTCACAACGTATAGAGTTTCAGGCACAAATATTGTACTGGACCCAGTTAAAATGAATACAGTGTAATGTATATCCAGAGAAGTAATACATCACTATTATCAATTACACAATTTATTAAATATTTTTTTTAAACTAAATTACGACTATATAACGTAAAATACTTTTCACTGTCTATTTTGTTCAATGCTATACTGAATGCCTCCCTTACAGACAGTAATAAATAACGCTCGTGAGGCACCAGCATATATCGACTGTGCAGACGGAGCTTTTTGAGGTCGTCGCTCCACCTTGTAAGGAGCCGCCTTCAATTGCACTTGTCTATGCATCTATGCATCGTTTCAACGTCTGTGAAATATTGTAGAAAATCACAGAAAAATACTGTAAAATCTTTGTTGTATGTATATAATTTGCATTAGGTGTATAAAAAAGATTTAATATACAATGGTGGACTTATCCTAAGAGGGATCCTGTTACAGTTAACCTGTGAGAAGCTAAAAGAAAATAAAGAATCTACGAGAGCAGAAACTGTATAGACATAGACAAAACTTAATAACAACCGGTTAATATTAAACCCATATTACAAATACTAACCAAATGTATACACCTATTTTTCTGTATTGTATACATCTATTTTTATATATGTATATATATATATGTATATATATATATATGTATGTAATATTATAATAAAACTATAGATTTTAATTCCGAATAAAACACTGATTTTATGCAGGAAACAGCCACATTATGTTTTTTTTTTTCTTTATTACCATAAATAGTTCCTTGTATATATTCGTTATCCAGTAACTTGATATTTTCCTGAGATTTTCCTAAAAAACTACAGCATGGGAATCTTCAAAAAGGGGGTAAAGAAGTATCTTCAGGGTCGCTAACGCGCACGTAACACCTATAGTATTGCAGGTGTTCATAGGCTACAGTAACCGCTTGCCATCAGGCGAGCCAAATGCTTGTTTGCCACCTCAGTAGTATAAAAAAAAATCACTATTACCAATTACAAGTAAGCTCGTGGTATCTGATCGTTGTTTTTTATCCACAACGTCAGCGAATATTCAAAAAACGTGTAAGTCATCTTTAAAACATTTTTAAATAACATTTTCTTTGGAAAATAATGGGCATAATTTATTTTTAGGAAAACTAATTTTACAATATAACCCAAACTAGGTCAAGATAAAATTTAAACATTATTGAAAACAGACGGGAGAAAATGTTGAGGCACTTGGTACAATAAGACAAGGCATTATAATAAAAAATATGGTAGAAGAATAGAGGGGAAGACAGAGACCGAGGTATAGTTACATCAGGTAGATTAAGAAAAAAGTTAGTGTCGTGTCCCATCAACAGGTAAAGAGACGCGTCGAAAGTTATAGGGAGTGGAAAGAAGTCCAACGAAAAGTGAATGGCTTAAATAATGCATGAACGCACTCCACCAAAAACAAAAATTTTCTTATACAATCTCATTTACTACCCAATTTCGTGTACTCTTTGTTTTGTACGATTCAAAATTAGTTATATTTCATCAAGAAGTTTACATCAAGAAGTAAGTTATATTTCAGCAGAAGAATAAATAAATGACTATAGCGTTTATCTCTGTAACAAATTTCTTATTGAAACCTATTTTGATCTAAAAACTAAATTACTGAAATAATTTCGATAAAATTTCTTTGAGACCAATCTATAAGTATGTCATTTCAAATAGAAAAAGAATTTTTCAAATCGACTGAGAACTGACGGAGTTATAATGTAACAAATATAAAAACAAAATACGATCGAATTCAAAATCTTGTCCTTTTTGGAGTCGGTTGAAAAAACATGCAACTAAAAATACTACGTACAAAACATTCGAATTGTCGAAAATTTAGAATATTATTACTATACTTTTGTTTTTAACGTAGAATAGCAAACAAGCTAAAGGCCCGTCTAATGGAAAGTGGTAACCATCGTTTACACACATGAGCAGTACCATAGAAAATACAAAATACTCTGTAATGCCCATAATACTCTTCATGCGTTACATTTTCTGAAAATTATGGTGGTATGCCCTCCACACCTTATAATTTCACTGCCATATCCCACTCTTGACAACGAAACAACCAAGCAAAAACAGCTATTTAGAATTTTGTACACGGTCTCCCTCTAGTGAGTGTCATAACGTTATATCTATTTCCATAATGCAGTTTGCTTCTGTAACATAATAGATATTCTTACAAATAATAATATTAAAAATATTTAAGTGAGCTCGTTGATTTGTTAAAGATACATGCTATAAGAGAATGTAGAAGGATATACTTTTTACCGCCGTCAGTGGTTGTATTGCGGTTACACGGACAAAGTCGCGGGTAAAAGCGGATATTTATAATCCCTCTTACCGCTCGCCGCAGTCCTATCAACAATGCGTTTGTGGTGTAACAGATATTATATGACCACCGCCTGGCTATGACGAAGGTACAGTTAATTATATACTAATGATACTTATTTTTTAATATTATTATTATTATATTATATTTATTTACTAAGCTTTTGCTTTTAATGGAATTAATTAGAATAATAATTTATTCGTGGTCAATCTATTTTATTTGTTAAATTTGTGAGTCAGGATAAACAATTTTATAACTATAGATGGCTGTAGTTTAATAAAATAACTACATAACTTACGTATACTTAGATCTAAAAAGCTCGACTACTTTCGGAATTAATTCTGGTCCTTGATGTCATTAGGTCATGAGCGACTGTGATGCAAGCACGAGCCTGACTGCGTGCGTCGGCCCGCTGAGCGCAGGCTGTAGGCGCTTGCGCCATCACCACAGTTATGATGGCTTGCGGAACACTTCAGATGTTGTAAACAGTTGGACTATAATTTAGTTCAAAAAGTGTAATATGCCAAGAAGATACGCAGGTATAATACCCCAGTCTACAGTAGGTAGATAAATAGATAGATAGTTAGGTAGTATTAATATTACAGCAAGTGACAAATCACAAAAAGTAACTTTTACGACTTAATGCGCATTTGCTACAATTTGTTATTAAAAGTGAAATAAGAATTATAATTTTTATGATAAGAGCGAGCTAATAGACACTTTAATGTACTTAAATGAG